GATCTAATGGTAGAATATGATAATTTTGGGGGTGTCACTTGTTAAAATTGATAATTAACCATGACTCATATTTCTGACATACTTTATTTTCTGGTTGCCATCTATACAACCACCCGATCTCGCTTCCACCTCGAGTGTCTCGCGAGACCAGTCAGGCAGAAGTGAAGGCACACATATAAACAAAGGTAAGTATGAAACATAATATTTATACAGGGCCCGGTTTCTTGAAATCTTAACTAAAGATAAACTTCAAATTTTAGTAGATATTTCAATTTTGATTGGCTAAGCACTAAAATCAATTTAATATTATCCAATCAAATTGCTAAAATTTTGATTTTTATCTTAGTTAAAATTTCATGAAACAGGCCCCAGATTAACATCACTGAGAACAGGCTATTCTGATAAAATTTAGAATAAATTTGAAAACTGTAATATACCTGGAAACATTTTGTTATATCTTTGAGTGTAAAGAGATAATGATATCTTCCTGGCATTGGAGTAGGCCTTAATACACTTTGTATCTCTGATAATAAGTCACATGATGCCTGGACTAAACCATTATGTAGATCTAAATCTAAACCGGGTGTATCTTGATCTGTCATATTGGCCTGCAAATATTCAAAATAATAAATATAATATTACATTTCATTGCTAGGAAACAAAATATACTCACTGACAACTTTTTGAAGAATACAATCTGATTAAAACACAGATCCTATTTCGTTTCGTTTTTTATAGTTCAAAATTTCGTTTTACTTGTCTTCACAACACTAGGATCTGGAAGAGTTGTTATATAACCCACGCTCCGGATGATATGAAGGATTAGCCAATGAAACGGTCTGTTACGGCGAGTTTTGGGCGTGAGGTGCACGGAACTTTGGGTCAACCATTAGAAACTTCAACGCTGATTGATTAATCTATGTCTGACGTCATAAAGTCAAAAGCCTGTCGTATGACACCTGATGCGACCTTCCACTAAATCTGTTCAGATCTTCATGTAGTGTAGGCTATCGAAAGTATAAAAAAACGAAACGAAATATAGATTTGTATCTTAATCAGATTGTGAAGAATAGTATATAGACATGTTGTGATGTAAAAAAAAAAATATTTAAAAAAAAGTGTGACCTGCAGAGTGCTGACAACACTTCTCTGACAGGGGCAATAAGTAGATAGGGTTTCCGGTCATGACTAGTCATCCACTAGCAACTGTTAAATAGAATGTCAAAATTTCTGACTTGTAGAGGTGTTTCTCATAAAACGGACACACTTGAATTTTAAGAGGGTTTCCCTTTATGTCTAGCTGACCAATCCAAGTTTTAAAATAAAAAAAATAGAAATTTGATCTGTAGAATGTTTGCATGGTTTTGTTAACAGGCAATAATTCCTTGTAAAATTGATATTAAGCCCAGAATTTCATTGGGGTCACCTTATAACTTGCCCACCATTCCAGCAAGTAAAAAAGAAATAACTCAATGCTTGACTATAAATTTCAATACTGTTCCTCCTTATGAATAAAGAAACAAAGCATTATATCAAAAAGAACATGTCAAATCTCTGACTTATTTAATCACAGTTTGAGATTTGGAAACTTTGCTACCTACCTCTAATATACCGTTTACAATTGATTTCAAAGACTCATCTTGAGGTGCTGCTAGGTGGAATACAGCAAAATGACGCTGGAAGTAGTAAATAAAATATTCAGTAATAAAACTCAATTTCTTAAAATTATATTCTTGAAAATCAGAAGACAATTCATACAGTTTGTTTAGTTAAATTATTATCATCATTGATTATAATAAGTTTACCCTTCGTTTATTTTTCATGCTGATTAATGGTCGGCGAGTTTTACCAGAGATTAACGAAGGATAAAGTTATCTCTCTGGGATTGAGATTGAAATTAAAGAAAAACTTACCAATAATCTGTCTGATATAGATCTATTAGTAACACCAGGATAATCACTTAAAGCCATTCCTGATAATACAGTTAAACCTTCAATACTTCTCCATTCAAATGGTTTGTTTAGTGTACATAGTACCTTCTGATCTAATAGCTGCCTTAATAACTGAAACATAACATGGTGAGGTGAATAAACAGTTATCTTTTTCCATAATTAAACATACATTATGCAAGAGATAAATCTGCCTATTGCAGGTCTTTCTTTAGACCTGAAATGTTATCTAAATTATTAATTAGACATTATTTAACTTATCCAGACCATAATCAAATCTCGATGCCATCTTATGTGTTGGATTTTCACTGGATTTGAATCCGATCTGCTGATCAATGCTAATTTGATGATTAAATCCAAAAATGATAATCGAGGTCGACTGTTTTTTATCGTCCCGAATGTGCCCAATCGGTCACCACATTTGGTGAATCATATTCAGACACAAGTGAACATGAAAAACATGTCTGTTAGTCTATTATTTAAATCATGTTAGATTAAGTGTAGTTTAATGGTCGAGTGTGAGACATTAAGTAATATATTGATATTGTACGAGTGCGATAGCACAAAGGCAATATCTCTATATTACGCAATGTCTTGCACAATACGTCATGCGGGTCCAATATTGCAACTAGTATAAATAATGTACACTTGGCACATTGCCCATGCCATTATTTGAAATAATGTTACCCCAACATCAAAGGATGACGTGACATCTGTATTTTAATCATGAATAATTACCTCATTACATCTCTGTACATTATATTCATCCGGTACAGGTAAATTAACGTCATCTATAAATACTCGTAGTTTCTTATTATCTTTCGGACCATAAACAAAACCTATATAATTATACATAAATAATAATTATATACTTATAACCTAATAGAATTCATATACATAATAAAAAAAAATACACTGATCAATAGGCAATCTGATTAGAATACAGATCTATATTTCGTTACGTTTTTTTATACTTTTGATGGCTTATACTAGATGAAGATCTGACCAATTGTACTGGGAGGTCGCATCAGGGGTCATACGGGCGGCTTTTGACCCTATGGCATTGGAAATTGATTAATAAATCAGCGTCGACGTTTTTAGGGGTTTACCCACAGTTCTGTTCAGAGCACGCCAAGAATTCGCTGTAACAGACTGTTTCATTGGCTAATTCCTCACATCAACTAGAACGCCTGTTATATAACAACTCTTACAGATCCTACAATTAAACAATTTGCTAACAATGGCTTAAAACTTAACATTAAATACAGAAACTACTATTAAAACAGCTATACCCGATCACGAGTTGTAGTGATGGTTGTTAACATTATGATATAAATAAAAGTCAAATGAATTATTATGATTTTATTACCTTGTCTATGGTAAATATTTGATTCCATAAACTGCTGCAATTGACTGGCTGTAGAAGCACCAGAAAATACAAGTCTTTTACATATTGTCGTCTGTTGGTCTATAATATACAAATATATGAAATGAAATGGGGTTTAACGTCTTACTGTTCTGCTCCGATTAGGCTAATGAAAACGGGCATACACCATATTTTCTTTCAAGCCTTAGTCACCTATATAGTATTGGTTGTGGTAATCACATATCATGGCCTATTTAGAATATGACATTCTACACAATAAATTAACAAGAATTATTTTTGTTGAAGTCTGGTTATATTAAAGGGAATGGGATCTCATAATTACTCTATTTCTGACTGGGACCTCTTGTGACTCAATTCTGACCGGTTTGTTTCAAAATGGATTAAGAACCCCTGGTACGTACCTTGTAAATCTATAAACTCATTAACTAAACTAGTTTTACCACAACCATGTGGACCAACTAGCAGAACATTCTGACCAGATGCTGCCGCAAACTCCATTAGAATCCTTGTTCTTATCTATAAACAACAAAATTTATTGAAATACTTTAACATCAGACAAAACTTTAAACAGCACAATAGTCTATCCTCAATTTATCTAAATTTTTACAATCACTGGTGTGCAGAGGTTAGGTGATGCCCAGTGCTAATGCTTTGATTGTATGCAACCCAGATCCAAGTATAGGACCTGTACTCAGTAACGTGAGAAAAAAAAGACATTTTAGATACTGTATGTCAAAACAGATGAAATAAACTATTTTTTCAAATTAAGTAGGGAAGCTTGTACAACAAAGATTACAGCTATTTAAGGGGCATTATCGAAGATTTAGATAAAGAGCTGGCCATTCTTGCTGTAATAGTTCAAAAATAGATAATGCAAAATGAATATATTGAAAATTTCATTCAAATTACTTTATTCTGAGCGAAGATATTAGCCTCTGAAGGTTTGACAAGATGTGTCCACTGATCAAAAGCACTGTACTGCTTGTTCGAGGCTTAGCCTCGCTCCACCATTTTTAGATTAAATCATTAAATGGCCGAACTGTTCTAATTACTTAAAATTGGGCCTATCCGAGATTTGATTATGGTTTTGTCATGGTAATAAATGTCTAATTAATAGTTTATGTAACACTTAAGGTTTAAGGCAGATTTAGCTCTTGGATAATGCCTGTTTAATTCCTTATTCAAATCTTTTGCTAGATATAATTACTTACTGTGTTAACAGAATCAACAAAAATTTCACCCAACATATCTTGATTATCAACATACACAGCTTCTGGCACTCTGTATAAAAAAAAACAACAAAAAATTGATATAAAACTGCTCAATATAAAATTTCATATATCTCCACAACTTACAGAGTTTATAATTGGTCATTCTAGCTATGTTCCCACTATCACGATTCGCACTACGATTGAAATCGTGGTAATCATGGTGATCCTATCAGATCATATCATATATTGTGGTTAGTCGTAACAATCGTGTTGATCGTATCGAAATGTATCCGAATCGTGGACACAATCTGGACAATCCTGTCGTAACGCATCGCACGACAGTGGGAACCTTGCATTATAAATTATAATGAATGTTTAAATTACCTTGAATGCCATGGATCCCATTCACCAGATTCATCCACATAATAATCAAATACACTTATATCATGATCATCATCTGGTAAACTGAAATATTTATTCACAAAATATCAAATATAACATAATAATTTTAAGGGTATGATACAAAAACAAACTAAAAGATTATATAAATTTGCTTCATATATGACTACGGTATATTCACTTTGCGATATTTCAAGAATCTAGTATTATACATAGTATAGGAAAGTGTTTTATGACGAAGAAAATTCAAAATAATTAGTGTAAATAAATATGAATATAAATAATTCAGTAACAGGCGATTCTTACCACCACACCAATTGCTTAACTTAAATCAATGATTCAGTGAAATATGTAATACAAACCATGTAATTATTACATAATTCAGAAATCATTTGCTAATTTTTTTAATGAAATCCCTTCATAAAAGAATGCCAGCTAGAACAATCACTTTTGACTGATTGAACGATGCTTACATTATTTTTGTAATATTTCTATATCAAAAGCCTTGGATGAACTGCTCGTCTGCAGTTTATATGTAATATTTAACAGTAATGGGACTTCTTTAGTAAATCCAACTAAAATTCATTGTCTTCCTTAGAATAACAAGACATTGTCAAAACCAAATCTTACATGACAAAAGTTCTGATATTCCATAAATTGCTGAATCAAGTTCTGATGAGACCTTCTTCATGGTGTTGTCATTTTATGACGTATTTTAGACATCTTTATAAATATATGCATTAATTCAACTTACGCTGTGGATAATGTTTTTAGTAAATCACTAAATGCTTTACGATCTTGTTGATCCAAAAGTCCACCAAATGTCCAAATAAGGCAGAAGAGAAACATCCGTTCAATATGCATTTCACCACCTATTTCAATATTATCAGCTAACATGGCCGACAATAAACCAAGGCAGGTTTTAAACAATCCAACTTCTGATAACTTTAATTTAGGTCTGAAACAACAAATTAAAGATAGTTAACTAATGATGGAGAGAGAGAGAGAGAGAGAGAGAGAGAGAGAGAATTTAACCTCCACTCAACACAAACTAGGTCATTTCGGGACTAACACATGGTTCAATTTTATTTCAATAATTCGCTTGCGCGTGGAGGTCTTTAGCAGTGGGAGAAAACCGGAGAACCCGGAGAAAACCCGCGAGATTGGACAGGTGACCCTACTCCGTGTCACGTACAACCAGAGGATCGAAACCATACCAGTTGACTCAATGACAGATCTTATGATACAGCGCGCACATGCTAACCACTCGACCATCCAACCCCGCTAACTAAATATGGAATGAAGCTCTGATTTATTGTGTCTGATACCTTGAAATCAAATATCCACTATCTATATAATCAATTAATTTTGCAATCATGAATTTTGCAGTGTATAGTATTCAGTTGAGGTCAACAGGATGACAATTCTCAGAAATAACATTCACTTAAAGTCACAATGCACTGTTGGCATTTGTCACTAAAATATCAAATTTTCTCACAATTTAATCCACAATAAATATGTACTCAGATTGATTATTTAACAGTTAATTCAGAAAACAGATCAAAATACCAACACTTTAAAACAGGCCTATCAATAAATTTTCGTGGACAACAAAATGGCAGATGGCTTCTTGCTTAGCGAGCAACATAGATGAATGAATTTTAAATTAAACATATCTTTGTAAATAATGAATGAAAATGAACCATTTTTAACTGATATTTCTTATAGAGATTCAATTTTCACAATATTGCAGTTGGCAAGTGATTCCTAATGATTAAAATGGCGCATCTAGACCTTAATGAACTCTACCAAAAGGAGAATTAAATTTTAAGCAATAATTGTCTACCTGGCCTCATAGAATACAAAGTTGATGATTGGATCTAAACATTTCTGGAACGCCCGCTGTAATACCTGTAAATAGGATGATATTAAATTATTAATAAGATATTCTTAAATACCATTTAACATTTAAAGAACTTCATGAAGTAGTTCACAATTACATAAAAAAGCTTTCCTCTACAAATTCTAATATTGCCTAATTAATATGTCAATCGTCAGCTAAAAAATACATTGGGAATACAGAATTTAAGTAACAAGAAAACACAAAATTTATGTGGTAAAGAAGTAATGTATTGAATGATATTTCCTATAAGTACAGTGAAAGCTTTAAGTGCATGCTGGTGTTCTATTATAATTTTTCAAGTGACATTCTTTATAGCTTTAGTACAAAATTTGTGGATTTTGTGTCCAGTTTAAAGTCGCATTATTTTAGAAAATGCATTAACTCAAAAAATTTAAAGTTTTATCAACGTAAAGTTCTTTTGAGTATACTTGATTTTTTGTTTGTTTTATTCTAAACAGAAATATAAAGATTGTCACTTTAGCTCAGTGGTTACTGTGCTTTTGAAACAAAAAAGTGCTAACATATATAGAAATCTTCTTTGATTGGCATTTAGTAATTGGCATTTATTAATACACAATTAGTCAATTACTGAGTTAATATTAAGCGACGTTTCCTACAAGGATACTCTCATCTCTAATATTAAACTAAGTAATTGTGTATCCATAAAATTGTCCCTTGTGTTAGATATAGAAATGATTATAAATTAAATATATCCAGTGTCAACAAGCTGCAATATTTGTGTATAAATTTATAAATGTCCACTTTTCTGCAATTCTGATAATGTATTGTACTAAGCTTACATCATGTACTGCACTTTCATCACTGTAACCCGGGTATCATTTAATCTTGTGTATTAAGCACTAATTTCTTTCACATTTGTTTAATATCAAATCTTTGTTTAAAAATTTGTAAAAATCATTTAAAAACACACAAAATCATCTAATTTGTATATTATACTGATCAATTTTGTGAAACCCCAAAATAGCGACAATAAAGTGACTTCATATGAACATATCTTAACGAATCATGGCAGCTAAAACATATTTGTTGTATTTAATTACGTCACGATTCTATGCACACCACCTATATCTGTTGTCAGGAATTAACAGAAGTATGACATGACTGACTTCCGTGCCACTTGATTGCCATTCCGTGAATTTGGAACGTTCCGGACTGGCAATTGAGCTCGAGCACTCCCATTAATTGTCTGCTTCTAATTTAGCTAGAATGTTTAAACTTGGTATACTTATTCATTAGATGAATGACTTTAATTTAATGATGAGCATTTTCCACTTTGGCTAAGCAGAGGTATAATGTTCAAACTTAGGTGACTTCCTTAACTGAGTTCGATGATGATTATTTTCTGTATAGTATAGGCTAAGCTGTCCATCAGTCTGTCACAACTTTTGTAGCACAATAACTGTTTCTAACTGAGGTAGAATATTCAAACTTGGTGTAGATGTTTGTTAAGGCTAAGCAGAGATAATCAATTTGACTGACCATCGGATTAAAACACAGATCCTATTTCGTTTTTTATAGTTCAAAATTTCGTTTTACTTGGCTTCACAACACTAGCATCTGGAAGAGTTATATAACAGGCGTTCTGCTTAATGTGACGAATTACCCAATGAAACAGTCTGTTACTGCAAGTTCTTGGCGCTCTGTGCACAGAACTGTGGATAAACCACTAGAAACGTCAATGTCTGACATCATAGGGTCAAAAGCCTCTCGTATTACCCCTGATGCGACCTCCTACTACAACTGGTCAGATCTTCATGTAGTAGAGGCCATCAAAACGAAATATAGATCTGTATTTTAGTCAGATTGTTTGACTGACTGAAACTTTATAACACAATAATAACTTAAATTGCTTCTAACTTCGTGAGGATATTTAGTGTAAGGTTCCATTACATCAATACCTTGACCAATATAAGCTTGATAATGAACATTTGCTGCTTAGATAAACAATCTTTTAACTAATACACCTAACCATGCTTTCATGCAATAACAGAATATTTAAAAAAATATTCAACTAACATGCATATTTAACCTATGAAGTCCAAATACATGCACTAATAATAAAACATATATATAGGTTGATATGATTTAAATAGAATATTGTAGTGTACATGCATCAAGATGGTTATATTATATTGTATACATATTATATGTTTACCCCCTCAACTGTTTCATCTGTATTTTTAACTTTTAACTGTTTAAAACAAACAAACAAACATATAAACTACATAACAATCTAATACTTTTTTTTTTTACCTACAGTTAAAATACCAAACATAATGATTTTATTTGCTACATCTAGCAAATAATCTAGCTACATCTTCAAACTAAACTTCTTCTAATTCATCATTATGTATGAGGTGTAGGGGGAATGTCACTCGGCAAATCTCAGCAGATTCCAGTACCCTACATCTAGCCTCGGCTGTATGACAAAGTCTGCCATTGGAACTACTTTCAAGTTCCTAGATTACCAATGGCGTTGCCCATGATGACACCTTTGAAGAATGTTTTATCATACAAATATTTCAAAGTCTGAAGCTGTTTTTCTTTCAAGTTTATCCGATTTTCTTCAAACAAGGGCAACTTTGCACTACACATGCTTTGAACGATGCAATTTTTTTTTTAAAAGCAGCAAGTTTTCCTAATAAGTAAACCGGTGTCGCATCGCAATTGTATAGTCGTAGGTACATATCACTTACCGTCATACATACAGCCGAGGCTAGATGTAGAGTAACAGAATCTGCCAAGGTTTGTCAAGTAGGGGGAATGAGTGGTCAGGTGATGAAAAGTCAGGGGTCAGAGGTCAAGGGATTCTAATACAAACTGACTGACATTGAATTAAACCATCAAAATAATCACCCTATTAGTTGTTCCATTTTTATCATAAATTGTCAGTGACTGGAGGAATAAAATATAATTTGTCAAATAACATTTCATTCCTAATGGAAAATTAAATTTGTGCTTCATTATTTTCAAACATTCTTCATCATTTTATTTGTCTCTGAAAACTAAACTTTATCTACCGTATTCTTCAGTGTATTAGGCGCACTCTGTTTACCAAATATTTTATTTTCCAGAAGGGTTGCGACTAATACATAACTTTAAGCAAATCTAGGCTTTTCCCTATTTGACACCGAAGTCTGAAGTTCAAGAAATAACTGCTCTAGAATCAACACATGTCGACCAGGTGACGCTACCTCAAAAGCTTATGATATATTATCACTCAAATTTAATACAATACAGTTCCCTTTCGTGCCGTTCCCATTTATATTTGTCAATAACCCAACTTTTCCAGGGCAATTTTAGGCATGTGTCTAATTAACAATTAGGTGATTCAGGTAACCAGTCATGATTCATCAGTGGTTAGTATATAAATCATTAATGACGTCATACCATTATGTCAAGATAAAAATCATAAACTTTCTTTTAAAATTAGGTGCAAAATGTGCAAATTAAAATTATAGGCCTTTTTTCAAGTATTATTAAAATTTGAATATCTATTTAAACAAACAATATTTACGTATTTCACCTATAATGAAACACACAGTATGAAGTTATGAAAAAAGGACTAAAATTAATGATATTAAATTTGGTCTCAAATACCAAATGAGAACATGATTAAACATAACCCAAACAGGTAAATGAAAGGAACGAAGAATAAATTTGAATATAAAAAGTACTTCCTTTCGTCCAACTTGCACCTAGGAACATCAATAGTAAATTATTTCAGATGTTATTTAACATAGTATAAATAAAATGAGATACTGTTCTGCTCTGACTTGGTTAATGAATACAAGCAACAAAGTATAACATACGAGAGAGAGAGAGAGAGAGAGAGAGAGAGAGAGAGAGAGATGGGGTTTAACTTCACTCCGCACAAAGTTGGTCATTTCGGGACTAACATATGGTTGAATTTTATTTCAATAATTCGCTAGCACGTAGGGAAGCTGTGGGAGGAGACTGGAGGACCTGGAGAAAACCCACAAGGTTGGACAGGCGACCCTACTCCGTGTCACATACAACCGGGGAATCGAAACCATGCTAGTTGACTCAATAACAAACCTTATGATACAATGTACACACACTAACCATTCGGCCATCCAACCCCCCAAAACATATTGGAACAGGAAGTGTAAATATGTGTCTTATATTTCCTCTGCTCATTATTACGATAAAGCAACAAGAGCCTACTGAATTTCTTTCTTTAGTTAAATCTTACGATAAATGATTCGGCTAGTTTAGTTATTCTTATTTTGAATATATTTCTTATTGTACTTACATGGGCCTCTTGTTGAGATCTATTTCCTAACCAAGCTTTAGCTATAGGTTTCCATCCTACAACATCTTTATCTACATATAATATACCCTGTAAAACAAATATATATCAAGAAAAATGAATTAATACTTTCAGCACATGTCTTTCTGCAATTATGAGAGAGAGATGTAGGGGTCTTTAACAGTGGGAGGAAACCGGAAGACCCGGAGAAAACCCACGAGGTTGGACAGGCGACCCTACTCCTTGTCACGTACAACAGGGAATCAAAACCACGCCAGTTCACTCAATGACATCACTTATGATACAGCATGCACGCGCTAACCATTCAGCCTTCCTACCCCCCCCCCTCCGTTTGCATCGTCTAAGGCAACTTATACTTATTATTAACATATGAAGTGACAAAATGAAATGTCATTTAACATCCTACTGTTCTGCTCCGACTGGGCTAATGAAGACGGCATACAATGACAGGGGCACTAAGGCCTACTCTTATATCAAATTTCCAACTGTCAAGGGTTCTTTTACGTGCATGTGAATGTGTACATGGGACCTCTGTTTTTCGATGCATTTGAATGACTATACATTGACCCTTGCCAGATGCAGACCCTCATCAGTCCTGCACCATTGAGAAGGGGAAATCATGCCGAACGTTAACAATGACCTTTCTCAATTATCCCCGGTATCGGACACAGAACTTGCACTGATCTTGAAATAAGAGAGAGAGAGAGAAATGGGGTTTAATGTCCACTCGACACAGACTAGGTCATTTCGGGACTAACATATGGTTTTAATTTTATTTCAATAATTCGCTTGCGCATTGGGGTCTTTAGTAGTGGGGGAAAACCGGAGGAACCGAATAAAACCCACAAGGTTGGACAGGCGAGCCTATTCCTTGTCACGTACAAGCGGAGATTCGAAACAATGCCAGTTGACTCCATGACAAGCCTTATAATACAGTGTGCACATGCTAACCATCCAACACCCCCACCCCATCTTGAAATAAAAAGGAGCAATAGATAGGGAAATGTTTATTGTAGATGCTGAATATAAATTTACTTACAGATCTAGCTATAGTAGATGGCGATGAATCACATAAACTATCAGTTTCAAATAATAATATTACATTATCTGATAAAAATAATTTATCACCATTCTTTAGATGCAACACCTGAAAAATACACAATACATGCAATATGTGTTAAAAAATACTTTTATTTTGAATGAACTTGTTCATGATTCATGCCATTAAATTCTCATACGACATCACCTTTCTTGAATTTTCAATTCACTACATAGTACATATTGAATCCAAAATGTCTCTCTACTCACAGCCAATGATTGTCATTTGCATTTTGCAGACAATATTTAATTTTTCATTGCTTAATCCACTCTAAAATGTGTTCAAACTGATTATTTAACATAAAATTAACAAAACAAAACCATTGTAACATCAATCAGATTAAAATACAGATCTATATTTCATTTCGTTTTTTATACTTTCGATGGCCTACACTACATGAAGATCTGACAAGTTATAGTGGAAGGTCACGTCAGACATTGACCCTATGATGTCAGACATTGATTAATCAATCAGTGATGACATTTCTAGTGGTTTACCCACAGTTTTGTGCATGGCATGCCAAGAACTCGCCGTAACAGACTGTTTCATTGGCTAATCCCTCACTTCAACCAGAACACGTCAATGATAACAACTCTTCCAGATCTTAGTGTAGTAAAGACAAGTAAAACGAAATTTTAAACTATAAAAAACGAAACGAAATAGGATCTGTGTTTTAATCAGATTGAGTTCAGAATCCCTCAATGACTGTATGTGGCTTTAAGCCTTCTAGTAGTACCCACTATCTATGCTGAGTCTGACTGACAGGACATTGCCTTGTTTCCTAATAATACCACACAAAATAATATGCTGAATCAAGTATTGAAACACTTTACTCATCCAAACAAGCAAACCAACCTTTTCTGCTGCAAGGACACTGTTAAAATTATCTGCCCATCCAGGTATCAATGGACCATCTAAACACAACCATGTTGTGCTCATATTCTAAAATAAAAACAAACAATTCATATCGTCTATCACTTATCATATATCAAAACTTAAGATCAATATTTTTTTTTCACTTATAAATGTCTGATTAGCAAATATTAATAATCTATAAATATTTGACTGTTTTCTGTCATTGATACAAATAGGGAGAGAGAGACACACACACACACACAAACCAAGTCATTTCAGGACTAACATGTGGTTCAATTTTTATTTTAATAATTTGCCTGCTCATAGGGGTCTTTAGCAGTTGGAGGAAACTAGAGGACCCACAGAAAACCCACAAAGTTGGACAGGTAAACCTACTCCTTGTCACATACAACCAAGGAATCAAAACCACGCCACTTAGCTCAAGAACAAACATTATGGTACAGCGCGCAAGCGCTAACCATTCGGCCATCCACCCCCCGCTGGGTGTAATAGAGGTTTTTAGCAGTGAGAGTAAACCACGCCACTATTGATCATGACTCAATGACAGACCTTATGGTAGTGCAAGCATTAAACTATTCAGTCACCCAACCCCCTGCAGTACAAATATGGTAACAGAGAGAGAGAGAGAAATGGGGTTTAACATCCACTCGACACAAACTAGGTCATTTCGGGACTAACACATGGTTAAATTTTATTTCAATAATTTAGCAGTGGGAGGAAACCGGAGGACCGGGAAAAAACCCACGAGGTTGGACCGGCGACCCTTCTCCTTGTAACATACAACCGGGGAATCGAAACCACGCCAGTTGACTCAATGACAGACCTTATGATTCAATGCGCTCGTTCTAACCACTGGGTCATCCCCCCACCAACCATATATTGTAAGAATCTCCAGCTACCAATAATAAATATGTACTTACCCTGTTTGCCTTTTTACAAGCTGATGTAAATATACCATCTACCCAGTCATTAGCTTGATTGAGATAACCAAACATAAGAGAGGAATCATCAACAACTAATGGATTAATTTTTAATAGTTTATGATTGGTCTCAGTAGGTTTAGAGGTACGACTAGTCTGAGATTGTCGTGACAAACCACGTGGAGTAACACAAAGGGCATCCACTAAGGTCTGAATACATGTTGACTTTCCACTACCGGGAGGACCAGCTACAATTATACCTGAAATTACAACACAATGGATGTGATTTAAAAGAGAAAACTTTGTCATTTTGGTACTAACATATGGTATGTTTTTCCTTTCGCCAATTCACTTATGCACAGAATTTTTAGCAGTGGGAAGATACTATGTCATTTCAGGACTAACATATGGTTCAATTTTATTTCAATAATTCGCTTGCGCATAGGGGTCTTTAGCAGTGAGGACCCAGAGAAAAATCTCAAGGTTGGGCAGGCGACCCTAGCCCCCAGATAACAGAGAAACCCCATGAGATTAGACAGGTTCCCTAACCCTTGTCACTTAAAAAAACTGCCATCGAAACCACACCACCCGACCTAATGATCTAAAAGGCATGTGTTAGGCCATTCAACCACCTACCCTCCTACCAATAAAAAGCTAAATCAAAATTTAACAAACATTGAAGTTTACGATTTCTTTAAGGATGTCTATTTAATCAGGTTTTTAACTGACTCTGTATACAATCGTTAACATGTTCATAATCTTATTGTTTATTTATGATTTCATTGTCACTTTGTAAAGTGCCCCTGAACATATTATATGAAAGGGTGCACAATAAATATGCTGTAATAATAATAATAATATTTATCGTCTTCCTATACTTTCTATTAAACAATAATTTTGTAGAAACAATACTTACCATTAGAGACCTGTGACAAATTATGTAATTGCATACAGCGATTAATCCAGGGTTTATGCGCTATAAGACCAGCATCCATTGCCTTATTCTCAAGAGCAGCTTCTAGATCAAAACCTCGTGATTTAGCTGATAGAGCATTACGTGCTGCTGGTGAATCAGGTAATCCAACAAATACATCTTTTAATATTATCTTAAACTGAGCTTGATCCTACAAATTAAAATTATTTTTTATTTACTCATTTAGTTAACGGACAATTATTGGCTACCAATGTAACACTTTCTTGATTTTTTTTTTTTTACTTCTTGTATCTTTCTAATTCAGGAGTGATTTGGGGGATTGGCACAAAACAGTTGCTTATTCTGATGTATACTACATTACATTGAGGACATAGAATTTGGAGTTGATAAGCCAATGAATTCCAACTGACCATATGATCAACTAAAAAAGTGATGTCATCAGCACTTCCCAAATCTTATCACCAGTATTTATGACATAAAATATTTATTCAATTCCATAAATTACATACACTGGTAAAAATCTGATACCTTTGACTTATTAAATCATACAAGTGATCATTATTGTAAACTAGTGTTTAGTATGTATAGAGAGAGAGATGGGGTTTAGCTTCCACTCAACACAAACTAGGTCATTTCGTGACTAAAATATGGTTCAATTTTATTTAGGGGTCTTTAGCAGTGGGAGGAAACTGGAGGACTACGAGAAAACCCACGAGGTTGGACAGACAACCTTATTCCTAGTCACATACCAGAGAATCAAAACCACGCCAGTTGACTCAATGACAGACTTTATGATACAATGCGCACACTCTGACCATATGTCCATCTACCCCCCTAGTAATACAGTAGTCATTAATTATCAGGTGTGTAACTAGCTGTAAAAGATGTCACTACTAGTGTGAAAGCCTGACTATTTATAACAGCCACCACTATTCAATACACAACCCTGGACAACAGTAGTGTGTATAACACCTTAGTGACATAACACCTATTTAATGACTACTGCCTGAATACTAACAATTTTAATGAAATAATACACATTATGTATATAAAATGATGTCTTCTAGTGTCTTATATATTCATTTATAAAAGTTATTTGATGTTTAATCAACGATATCAACTTTACAGTGATAATACATGTAATTCATGTACTATTCTGTTCATTGTGTAAGATACTAAGGGAGAGAGAGAGAGAGAGAGAAATGGGGTTTAACGTCTACTCGACACAAACTAGGTCATTTCGGGACTAACATATGGTTTAATTTTATTTCAATAATTTGCTTGTGTGTAGGGGTCTTTAGCAGTGGGAGGAAACCGGAGGATCCTGAGAAAACCCATGAGGTTAGACAGGTGACCCTACTCCTTGTCACGTACAACCGAGGATTCGAAACCACACCAGTTGACTCAATGACAGGCCTTATGATACAGCACACATGCTAACCATTCTGTCATCCAACCCCCCAAAATACTAAGACATATGACCCAATATGCCAGGAAATTCAAATGTCAGTTCATAAATATTATGTATACAACTCGTATGTGTTCAGATCCCTAAATGATCTTACCTGAGCCGCCATTCTTGGTGAGAGCATTTCTTCTATAGTTTGACAAACCAGAGAATGTTCTAATTTTCCGGCCGCTGTCATTGGATTGGGTGTTCCGGTTTTACGCTGACTTTGACCTGGTAATTTAACCATACTGTTCATACCACTCGGTCCCCCTGAAATGATAATCTGATGTTCAAAATCTGGAACTTCAGGTCACAAAATCCTTTCGGTTAAATTTTAAAAAATCCAAGTAAAATCCTTTTTCTTTAAAAAGGTGCAGCTAAGTTTCCCCCAATTCTCCCAGATGTTGTAAATTATTCATAATAAACTCAATGCCATGTGATGATTCTCTGTTCCTAAGAGACAGATAAGTGGGTTTTAACGTCCACCCAGGTCATTGCAAGACCAACATATGGTTCAATTTTATTTCAATTTTGGTCTTTAGCTGTGGGAGGAAACCGGAGGACCCGGAGAATACCCACAAGGTTGGATAGGCGACCCTACTCCTTGTCATGTTCAAATGGAGAATTAAAACCACGCCCCTTGAAACAATGACAGACCTTATGATTTAAAGTGCACAAAAGTTAAACCTTCCAGCCATCCATCCCCCCCCCCCCCACAACTCCTTGATGCCTTTGATATTAGAAATGAAATGAAATGGGGTTTAACATACTACTGTTCTGCTCCTGACCTAATGAAGACGGGCATACGCCATACAGTGTGCAATGAGGGAAATTTTGCCCGGGCAGCGGCGCTACGGCCTACTCTTATATCGAATTCCAACTGCCAAGGGATCTTTTACATGCATGCCAATTTGTACACGGGACCTCGGTTTTCGTCTCATCCGAACGACTAGACCGCTGTCCTTGTCAGGCCCTCCGTCCTGCATCACTGACAAGGGGAAACCACGCTGGAAAATCTGGATGAACTTTCTCGGCCAATGCAGGGATTGAACACCCGACCTCCAGGCTAGCGAGCCAGTGTCTTACCCACTTAGCCTTTGATATTAGAAACTCCAAATAAAAGAGTGTATATTGAAATGATAATCCAAATTAATTATACTTATTATATTATAGATAAATTCCATCAATGGCATTGAACTGGAGTACACAGGTCACAATTCTATGGAATACAATTACTGCTTATTACTGAGCAATGCGTTGACTCGGCTTCTCTAGTCATTATCAAGCTATGATAAAATATGAAAATATAACAAGTAACTAAGGGGTATCTCTGGTTGGTCAGCATTAACTAAGCATGGTTGTGTACATGTATATATTGTCTTGTTATATTTTCATATTTTATCATTGCTTGTTAATGACTAGAGAAACCTAGTCAAAATGTCACTCGTTCATAATGTCGCTCATTCATAAGCAGTAATTGTATTCCATAGAATTGCGTAGTTATAGATAAATAAGAATTACCAGTTTGTATAGGCATGTTTAGTTTGACTGTGGCTTCTGATGCTACACTATCAGATCGGAATTCGTCTCTTCTTTCTGTTTTATCTAGAGCTTTCTCGTCACGCATAAACCTTCGTTTCTGACAAGCTCTCTTTAATACTCCAACCAGAGCAGAAATAGTGAAATGATAATGGAACTCAGAGGGTCTGTGAATGAAAACAAATCCATTTTCATTCTATATTCACAAAATAAAATGTATGGTTGTGTGACAAATGAAATGAAATGAACTTGGGTTTAACGTCCTATTCCGACTGGTCTAATGAAGACGGGCATATGCCATATAGTGTGCTTTGAGGAAAATTTAGCCTGGGCAGCTGCACTGTGGCCTACTCTTATATCGAATTCCAACTGCCAAGGGATCTTTTACATGCACACCAATGTATACACAGGACCTCGGTTTCTAGTACCATCCGAATGACTAGACAGGTGTCCTTGTCAGGCCCTCCGTCCTGCACTACTGACAATTGGAAACCACGTCAGAAAAGATTGTGTGTAAAATTAAATCATATAAAAGGGTTAGTGTTTATAGAACAGTGTGTAATATTGTATCTTATATACTAGGATTATAATAGATATCAATTCAAATTCAATTAATGGAATTTCCTCAATATTCTTCAACAAATTAAAATATTAGTGAAAATCAATTAATCGAATTTCCTCAAAATTCTTCAATGAATTAAAATATTAATGAAAATTAAATAATTAATTAAATTTCTTAAAAATTCTTCAATGAATTAAAATATTAATGAAAAAACTTACAATTGATCTTTGACAAGTTCAGATAAAACTTTTAATCTGCTGGCTAGAATTCCTGGTGCTCGGAATCCCATGGCAGAACATTTAGCTTTCAGTATTTGTCCTATATCTGGTTTAATCAATGATATTGTTCTATAACATGAACGGATTTCATTAGGCATCGAACAAAATGGTGGGGTAGCTGATGGATTCAATGTCATAAACATTCCTACAGAGTTCTTGATACCAATCTGAAAATATAAAACATACATTATGGAAGAGCTAAATCTGCCTATTGCAGGTTTTTCTGTAGGCCTGAAATGTTATATAAATTATTAATTTGACATTAACTAACTTATCCAAACGATAATCAACTCGCGATGCCATCATATGTAGACTATGTTTTTTATCGTACTGTATTTAGTAATGACAATCGAGGCTAGGCTTAAAATTCAATAGCTAATATCTCCGTTCAGAGTGGAGTAATTTTTTAACTATTACAGCGAGAACTGTCAATTCGTTATCTAATCTCCCATAAAGCCTTTTTAATTTTTTCAAACTTTCCTAATAAACGGCGAACTTGGTGGCCTTGTGGAATAAAGTTTAGAGTATGGATCTTTGGCCTATTAATGCGATCATAAAGTTGATACCAGAATTTGGTTCATATGCCCTGGGTTTTCTCTGCATTCGTCAAACTTCAAAAGGATTTGCCATTATCAATCTCAAAATAGGCTTCTTTTTTTTTTTATAAACAATATTTTATTTCATTTGAAAATGGATTGGGTAACAGACTAGGCCTGCGTTGACTCCTCATTAGGCTTTGTATCTGTTTCCTGAGATTATTCTGTCTTTGTTTTATTGGAGCCATGATGGCTAGCCTGGAGGTTGCATGTTCGATCCTAACATTGGAGAAGAAAGGTCATCGGGATTTTCCAGCGTGGTTTCTCCTTGTCAGTGGTGCAGGACGGAGGGCCCGACAGCTGTCTAGTCGTTCGGATGGGATGGAAAACCGAGGTCTCGTTTACATATTGGCGTGCACCTAAAAGATTCCCTGGCAGTTGGAATTCGAGTGTTTTCATTTGAAAATGGATTGGGGAACAGGCTAGATGTTGACTCGTTCGGCTATTTATCTATTTACTGAGATTATTATTGCTGTCATAATAACTGGTAGTTTATTTTATGTTTTTTTAATGATTAATTAAGATTACCTCCTGTCCATCTGTTAATATAATAGATAAACTAGCTGATCGTAAAGCTTGTAATATTTTATAAGAACAATCCATTAAAACAGCTATAGCTTCTCTATTTAAATTCTGTGCTTCGTCAAAACATCCCCAACATCCATCCTGAAATATTCATATTACCATGAATATAAACACTTTTTAAAATTAACATAATATATATCAGCTTGAAAACTCCTCTGTACATATAACAGTTATCAATTTTTTTTTGTTTTCATGCACAACATTTTGTTCTTAGAAAAGGATTGAGGAACAGATCTAGACTAGGTATTTATTATTACCTCTCTCAGTTATAAAATTGACAATTACTTATGACTGTCAGAAGTATAATAATACCAGTAATGTCTACTTATAACAAAGACCATTTAGTTGTAGGCTACCTGGCTTTTTTTTTATACTTTTTACCAATATGGTTACTTGTATAGGTAATTTTTTTCCTTCAATATGCTTACATTCATATTTCATGTGACATATAGCAGATACTCATACTAGTATTACACAATGTTCCTCCTAATTGTCAGTTTTCATTTATGAGTGAAGTCTGTATCACTCACTACAGGCTCGGAACTGTACAGCACAGTGGACGCTTACAGCTAGCCCATTATCTGATATGTACGTTTGTTTCTGATTTCTGCGTATTGTGTCTTGTCCGTAAGATTTGTTTTGTGTAATTGTGTGTGGTGCAGACCCCCTGCACTTGCTATTGGACTAGAAAACAATAGATGCTATTGCTATGGTTATTCAGAAAAATAATAAGTAGGCCTATTTTTAACTTACCATGGCCATTCCTTGAGCTATTTTTCCTAAACTAATAGGATTGAATGTTATTGAACAATGGAACATTCCGAGGAAATTTCCTAAAATATTTGCCAGGCCCTGAAAAAGTGAAATAAGAAATATGTATTAGACAATGCTTTCCTTGTTTATTTATTTAAGAAATAAAATATGTGCAAGACAATAAAATATGATAAAACATGTAAGACAATGAACAAATATCTTTTTTATCTGGCCCCAAGTCGACAAGGCATTCTCAGATTTAAGTTAAGAATCTACTCAAAATTGTCCGCCTTATTTTAACTAAAATATAGCCCTTTATAAAACTTTTGTTGTTTTAATGTATCAAATACATCAATAAGAAACTATGTGCAAAGCTTTGTGTTTCTGGGTCAAAGATATTTCTCATAAACAGTGACTGAAAATTGAGTAAATTCCTAACTGAGAATGCTTTGTGAACTCGGTGCCAGACCACTGAATACCAAATGATGCATTAGTAACCCCTCCCCGTAATATCGCCATATAAACAAACACTGACCTTCACAGTTTCCGTTTTGCCCACACCAACAGGCCCAGTAACACAGCTACCATGATGTTGTTTAAGAGCTTGTGACATGGTTAGAAAACATCTTTCTGTCATAGGTGTTAGAGCCACACCCACATCACTACCATAAAACTCATTACCATAATTATAGTGATTATCTAATATCCATATCAATGGTTCCTGTTTATCTTCTGTAATGTACAATTATATACACATGCAATTGAAAGAGAAAGAGAGAAAGAGATGGGGTTTAATGTCGACTCCACACAAACCAGGTCATATTAGGACTAACATACAGTTTAATTTTATTTCAATAATTTGCTTGCGCGTAGGTGTCTTTAGCAGTTGGAGGAAACCGGAGGACCCGGAAAAAAAAACCCATGAGGATGGACAGGCACAATTGAAACAAGAGTATCGGTACGGCTGCAATATACATCCACATTCCTGGGGGTCGGGGCATGCACCAAAATAAATAATTGCTGTCTTTACAGTATAAGGAATAAATAACCAAAGTTCCAAGATGATCCATTCAGAATTGCAGCCTGTAGACGATTAACACAAAAATTGGGTGTGGCTCGGCCCCTAGGGGTTGGATATGGAACAATACAAATATGTACAACCCTATGATGGATCATGCTGAATTGGATGCAAATCTGTTAATAATTGCAACTTGTAGATTATTTACAGACAAAATATTAACAAAAAGTGGGTGTGGCACACACAGACAGGCAATATATGTCCACATTATGAATGCGGACATACAAAAAGTACAACAGAAAACAGAGTCCCGGTGTGAGATTTTAGAGCTATAGAATAACTTGCAAACTACAACATTGTAAAAGATAAATCTCTAAATAGGAATATCGGTCAAAAAATGGTTCAATTCTGTTCAGTATTTACAAAGATATGTGGATGGGCCTAGTTTAAATCTGAGTGAATCCAAGCTTGGAGATTATCTAGCGTTGGTATTTTGAATTTGTTTTCTTATTGAAATAACTAGAGATGTCTTCTATTATAATTTAAGAGAGAGAGAGAGAAATGGGGTTTAACATCCACTCAACACAAACTAGGTCATTTCGAGACTAACACATGGTTCAATATTATTTCAATAATTCGCTTACGCGTAGGGGTCTTTAGCAGTGGGAGGAAACCGGAGGAACCAAAGAAAACCCACGAGGTTGGACAGGTGACACTACTCCTTGTCACATACAACCAGGGAATCGAAACCATGCCAGTTGACTCAATGATACAGCGCACACGTGCTAACCATTCAGCCATAGAACCCCCCATGATAAGATCAAAGCTGCAAGCTAATTAATCAGAGTATGTTTTTATGTGGAGCAGTATCTTACCAACAGGATGAAGGTAGCATCTTATACTTCTTCTCCACTCAAAATCTGTAACTTCTCGTAATTTTCTAGCAGACATGTTTTCTAAGATGTCACGTAAGAACAGTGATTGCTGCAAAAGAAAAAAAAAAAAATAGACAAATGCATTTGTCCTTCTGTTTTGCTCCTATAAACTGGGCTAATGAAGACGGGCACACGCCATTCAGTGTGCTATGAGGGAAATTTTGCCCGGGCAGCAGCACTATCGAATTCCAACTGCCAAGGGATCTTTTATGTGCACGCCAATTTGTACACGGGACAAATGCAAATGGCCCAACGAATTACAACTACTATGCTCCAGTGTATGCTTATTTCCTATTTGACACCAAGTTTAGTATTTTACAACTTTATTTTGAGGTGATCTTAATAAACTATACAAATTTTTTTTTTTTAAGTACATTTTAGATACATCCAGCCCTTATTGATTAAACGATTCCCAATCTTAATAAACTACACAAAAAAAAAAGAAGTTTTAAGGACATTTGAGATATAATGGTTAAATGTTTTGATCTGAACTTACCGAAACCATACATTCTAATCGGCCTTTATGTACAGGTAACATTACTTCATCTATTGTCTTCCAAGCTCCACGTGATAATACAGTTGATAATTTACTGGTATGAGTTACATATTTACGTAATGTACCCTGTAATGCCTTCCTATCATATTTAATATCGCTTATACCTTGTTCACATTCTTTAGTCCAATGATATAACATTCCCATACGACACACCTGAGCTGGATACTAAAATTATATAATAAAGTGTTTGAATAAGTGTCATATAGTAATTATATCTTATCATATCCTACATACATTGTGTTCCAATGCCACCTGTCATGGAAGAGTTTCCTGCCCTTTATTAGTTATTGGAGTCGGTTATATCTAATTTATAAGGTCAACTGTTTGAAGATTATGAGCAGTTTAATGGTCGAGTGAGTGACGTTAAGTAATATATTGAGACCATTAAACAACTTCAAAAAATACAGACACTATCTGCACGTGCATTTCAATGAAATACCTCACGTGGGTCCAATAGTACACATTTAATAATATATACGCTTGGCACATTGCACGTACCTTTATTTGAAATAAGAGTATGCCAACATCGAAGGATGACGTCACATCTGTATTTTAAGAAGATTAATCAATACATCTGAAATATATTCCAGTGAATTTTGTGTTCCGTATTAAGAATGATATAAATACCTTAGAAGCCCATTCATCCATGACTATACTATTATTACAGTCGTGTATAACACTTAGATTCATCTCATGTAAACTTTTACCCACAGATTCTTTCAATTTATATAACCAACACTCAACACCATCAGTTAATTTCACCTGGAATAATACCAATACACAACATTAACAATTTTTCATAATACTCTTTAAAACCCCAAACCAGGTAGTTTTCAATATTCTTTTGTAGCCAGTGTGGATTATAGCAAAGAAAGTTACAATATGATTAAAATACAGATCTATATTTCGTTTATTTTTTTATACTTTCGATGGCCTACACTACATGAAGATCTGACCAGTTGTAGTGGAAGGTCACGTCAGGTGTCATGCAAAAAAAAAAGTGGCTTTTGACCTAATGATGTCAGGCACTGATTAATAAATCAGTGTTGACATTTCTAGTCCAGTTTACCCAAAGTTATTTGCACCTCACACCAAAAACTTGGCATAACAGACCGTTTCATTGGCTAATCCCTCACATCATCAAGAATGTGGGGTATTTAACAACTCTTCCAGATCCTAATGTAGTAAAGACAAGTAAAACAAAATTTTGAACAATAAAAAACGAAACGAAATAGGATCTGTGTTTTAATCAGAGTGAGAAAGTTGACTACTCTTCTCCTAGAAGAAACCAAAGATCTCAGACAGGTGATTGCCTTTAATTAAGGACTTCAACATCCAAGAATAAGTCAAATTACATCAAGAGTTAAAATATACCTCATCTTGTAGAATCAATATTTCACCATCTGCACTATGTACGGCTTTAGCATCCATTACAGTGACATCATCAACTAAACCTTCTGATGGTAACATAGTGGGTATATTCTGAAGTGAAGCTGGGTTTAAGCTCTATTGATATAAACAATAACATTCATTTAATATAAGCTGACTAAATATAAATATGAAAATATTACTACCAAGTTTCCTGAATCTTTAATTTATAAATTTGAAACTTCCATCATTGTTAAACTGCCATTGGTAGATTTTGTAGATAATATTTGGGAGTTCTTCAGCATCCATTGTAATTCTAATTTTCATCACAATAACATTTTAGTTAATCTTTGTAGTTAATCATGGTAATTTTATTGAATTTTTTAAAAAAAATGTTATCTGAAAACTAAGGTATAAAATCTTAAAATATAAAGTTCAACAGCATAAACTAAACAAAAAACAAGTCAAAAATAATCTTCCAAAAATGTAATATAAATACTGAATATACTGGCATGCTAAATAGTCAATAATAGAAAAATATACAATTAATCATAACTACACTATATATATATATGTATATACCTTTCTTACTGATCATGCAGGCCTCGACTTCACTAAGCATTCTCAGATGTTAGTTAAGAATTTACACAACTTTCAATCACTGTTTATGGGAAATATCTTTGATCCAGAAACACAAAACGTTGCACATAGTTTCTTATTGATGTATTTAATACATTAAAACAAAAGTTTTATAAAGGGCTATATTCTAGTTAAAATAAGGCCAACAATTTTGAGTAAATTCTTAACTTAAGTCTGAGAATATTTTTTGAACTCAGGACATGATTGAACTAAGAAATTATAAGTACAAAAAATGAAATAGTTTGTTTATTTCACAAGACAGAAAATTAAAACAACAATATTGTCTCTTGATAGCATATTTCTTACAGGTTTCGAATCTCTTCTAGTTTTTGATTTAGTTGGTGACATACTCTCCTTGCCAGTTTTTCCTTTTCTTTCCTTAGCAATAAAGATGAACATACATATTCAAAATATGACTTTTGATCAAGAGGGAGAGAGAAATGGGGTTCAACGTCCATTCGACACAAACTAGGTCATTTCGGGACTAACATATGGTTTAATTTTATTTCAATAATTCGCTTGCGCATATATGGGAGGAAACCGGAGGCCCCGGAGAAAACCCACAAGGTTAGACAGCTACCCTACTCCTTTTCACGTACAACCGGGGAATCGAAACCACGCCAGTGGACTCAATGACAGACTTAAATATGATACACTTTTGATCAAAAATCCTCAATGATGTAGTAAAATGTCATTTATACACAAAACATGATTCATAAATTCACAATAAAGCAGACCAGCAGAATACATAAATTGACTTAGCAGTATATAATTCTTGATGTAAAATACACAGTAAGCTGTAGTATAATTTATATGTACATTAGAAGCAATGCAAAAAAGAATCATGTTTGTTTTTTTTTTCATTAAATTGAATTAGGTATTTTTTTGGACATAATTACAAGACTACCACTTATAGTATGAGCCTCATATACCTAAAGCCAACATTGAAGTATGGCTACAATATAATTTGTACACACGGTCCTAAGAGTTGTTGATTTTTGAGATACATTTATGCTGAATTAAGATACAGAAAATATGCCATAGGACTCGAAGAGTAATATGTTTGCATCTATAAAAACAAAGTACCGTTCGTTATATTTAGCTGGCAATTGACAACAATGTTAAAGTTTGATTTATTGTAACTGTTTCACTTCAAAACCAGATAATAAAATAACATTTTGCGTCTTTATCATGCCATTATTAAAGAAACTGATCTAACCTTACTGTTAAGAAAATATTAATTAATACTAATCTATAAATATCTCTTTTATTAATAGGGTTACAGTCTTCTAATTACGATACTAAATACAGATCAAAAGTTTATTAATAATAAGCCTATATGTATAATAATGTATTTTTATAATCAATTAATATAAAAATAATCAAACCTCATCCCCATCATGTCGTCCATATACATCCTATTATTATATAGAACAGATTTAATTAAACAGCAAAATATTTTACCTTCATCAATTTCCTTTGATCTACACTATTAAAGATGCATTCCAGTTAAAGTATTTATAAGGTAGTTATTTTCGATAAAAGTATGACAAATTTGGTATATATGGAAAGTAGAGACACCTAATCTTACTAGAATAATACTGGATTTCCTGGAAAACACCCATGGGGCGTCCCCAGTACACATATGTATCACTGGCATCCCAAATACACATATGTATCACTATTTGAGGGATGTAGGGAGTACCTAGTATATATGTGTGTTGATTGAATGGCTAGCAGTTATGAGAACAGCCAGAGACTTAAACATACAACAGACTGTGATTATGCTTTGATATTTATACAAGCGCAAAATGAAGACTCGCTCAACCAAGGCGGCTTAAAATAGATTTTTATGGCTAGGGGTAGATCCTTGCAATTAAAATGTTTTGAGAGGGATTTTAAGCAAACTTTTGATTAATGCATTAGTTTGAATATTTTTTAGTCCAAATATTTTATCAAGAGATTGGATTTAATGTCCACTCAACATAAACTAGGTCATTTCGGGACTAACACATGGTTCAATTTTAATTTCAATAATTCGCTTGCCCGTAGGGGTCTTTAGCAGTGGGAGGAAACCAGAGGACCTGGAGAAAACCCATGAGGTTGGACAGGCACATATGGGAGGAAACCGGAGGACCCAGAGAAAACCCACGAGGTTGGACAGGCGACCCTACTCCTTGTCACGTACAACCTGGGAATCGAAACCCCACCAGTTGACTCAATGACAGACTTTATGATACAGCGCGCATGTGCTAACCATTCGGCCATCCAACCCCACCACATGGAAACAAAATAATTAAAAGAATGGATTGTTACTGAATTCTGTTTAGATTTTATCAAAAGTTTGTAATTAGATAACCAAGTAAAAAAAAATCCCTATACTTACATGTACCTGTGCTAGACGTTTGTCTATTTTAGGTGGCGTATTAGTACGGTTTGATAGTGGTGATATTACACTTGATGTACGAGTACGATCATGGGGTGAGCTGCCACCAGGTGTATGAGGACGTCTACCAGAACTAAGTTCTTCATCATCTCCGTCAGTAGATTTTTCGAGTTTAACATCATGTATCTGACTAAATATTGACCTAAACAAACACAGAAGAGTCTGTATTAACATATTATTTAAATAAACTTGTGTCATGAAGAAATTTTAAAGACAAGTTTCAGTGGATTCCTAATCATAGTTCAGATCTGTGTTACAAATTTTGGGAGCATGCTTTCATTTTTTAAGGAAAATATGAGCAAAAAGTCAACGATTGATACTAAAAAAGTAATGGGTCAAATTCAGATATTGCTATTTATTGTAAGCTGATCAGTTGAATATCTTTTAAAGTTGCTTTATAAGACAAACTGTCCCACTACCCTAAGTTGTCCATCCTTCAGTCTTATAGAATATAAAGATGTTTAAACTTACCGTAAATGAGGTCTGACAGATTCCAGATCATTGGGTCGACTCAATATGGACAATAAGATTGAATCTGATACAAAGTAAAATCGTGGAAATGCTTTTCTCTTGTTATCTAGGTAACCAACGAGTGATTTAAAACAAATTTCTAGTTCTTCATGCATGTGTCTTAACACAACACCTCTAGGTACTTCCCCTCCATAACAGCACTGAAATATCCATATCAATTTACTGCAATATTTTATAATACTATATATGTCCCTGGGCTCTTCAAGATTAATGTTATATTCTAGAAAATATACTAGGAATGAATACAATCTGATTAAAATACACATCTATATTTCATTTTGTTTTTTTATACTTTCAATGGCCTACACTACATGAAGATCTGACCGGTTGAACTGGAAGGTCGCATCAGGGGTCGTACGATAGCCTTGTGACCCAGTAATGTCAGACAATGATTAATCAATCAGCGTTGACGTTTCGAGTGGTTTATCTACAGTTCCCTGCATCAAATGCCAAGAATTCGCCTTAACAGATTGTTTCATTGGCTAAACCCTCACTTCAACCAGAACGCCGGTAATACAACAACTCTTCCAGATCCTAGTGTAGTAAAGACAAGTAAAACGAAATTTTGAACTATAAAAAATGAAAAGAAATAGGATCTGTGTTTTAAACAGATTGAGAAAGTACAAACTCAAGACTATAAATTAATAGAGACGTTTTTGTATTATATTACCTGTAGCACATTTCTTGTATCAAAGGCTCTTTTCATCATTTTCGTCCATGTTTTATCATTTCTGGCAAATCTCTTTGCCTCTTGAGGTAGTTCCTGAAATACAGATTTTCAATTTAAAATACAAAATACAAAAATAAATATTCAATATTTGCAGTCTTTACAACTATATAGCATAATGACATATGATGAATAGCGAGAGAGAGAAATGGGGTTTAACGTCCACTCGATACAAACTAGGTCATTACGGGACTAACATATGGTTCAATTTTATTTCAATAATTCGCTTGTGCGTGGGGGTCTTTAGCAGTGGGAGGAAACCGGAGGACCAGGAGAAAAGCCACGATGTTGGAAGGCGACCCTACTCCTTGTTACGTACAACCGGGGAATCGAAACCATGCCAGTTGACTCAATGAAAGACCTTATGATACAGCGTACATGTGCTAACCATTCGGACATCCAACCCCACATATGGTGAATAAAAGGTAAAGTTAATCCAAGCTGTGCCTGCAATTGTATGTTGCTATTTCCAGCTGCCCATTCACACTAAATAGAAAGCAACCCTGTCCAACAGATTTTCATTCTGTCAGGCAGCAAAGAACATTTATTTTACAGTTTCAATGTAATTTATTTTCATACCATCATTAAAGACATATTATGTAAGATTTAGATAAAGAGCTAGCCATCCTTAGTATAATAGTTCAAAAATAGATAATGGAAAATGAATAATTTGAAAATTTCATTCAAATTACCCCATTAGCCTTTGAAGGTTTGACAAGATGTGTACAATAATTTCAACCACCGCACTGGGTGTTCGAAGCTAAGTCTCGCTCCTCCATGTTTAGCTTAATTCAAAATATGGCTGAACTGTTCTAATCAAGTTAAAATCTTGAGTATCCGATGCCATTGAGGGTTGATTATGATCTTGTTATGTTAATTAATGCCTAATTAATAGTTTATATAACATTCAAGGCCAAAAGAAAGACCTGCAATAGTCAGATTTAGCTCTTGTATAATGAATGTTTAATGTGCTGACAGTAATACTTTACCTTAACAGCTAAAGAATTGCTAAAAACAGCTTCTAAATATTGCCAAACATCTTGTACTTCTAACCATAGTTCCAATACTTCCGCCACTTCTTTAAGTTTCTCAGCCCATGAAGCTGCTTCGTCTCGTAATGGACCGATATAACGTGATGTTAACATACTGGCTAGTAAAGCCTGGGCATCTTCTAATTGTTCTAACAATCGTTCAGTAAAGATCTTGTCTAAATACATGGGTCCTCGTTTCTTATAATGTTCAAAATTAAGAACTTGTTCCGTCCATTCTTCTTCTGTTAGTCTCATCTTTATTTCAAGTTCTAGCTCCCTACTAGCTCCTCTACAGATTTCTTCTATTTCTGTTTTATATCTAAAACAAAAATAATTCATTGAACTTATTCACAAAAATAGATAAATATTATCGAATACATAACAAAGGTGGGCAGTAGTATTAATGTTTGTACAAAATGACACGTTTATAGAATTTATATCAGAGATTTGAGTCAAAGAATTTTCGTTCTAATAGCCAGTCTAAGCCATGGCCAAATTTACCAATGCAATGATGCGAATATCGATGTTTTCTCCATGCAGTTGGACAGGTGACCCTACTCCTTATTGTAAAAGCTGGCAATCAAAACCATGGCACTTGACTCAGTAACAGACCTTTTGAGCCAGCGTGCAAGTGTTAAACCATTCAGTCCCCCCCCCTCCTCCCGAATCTGTCAAGCACACATTTACAAGATGTGAGTGTATTAAAATGAAGTAGCCTATAGATAAAGCTGTGACCAATGTTTATGTCTTATTTCAATTCCAAGCATTTCGAAACCACACTTTACAGAAAAATTCCACCTCATAAAGTGCAATCTGATTAAAATACAGATTTATATTTCGTTTTTTTTTTTATACTTTCGATAACCTCTACTACATGAAGATTTGACTGGTTGTAGTGGAAGACCGTGTCAAAGGTCATACGAGCGGTTTTTGACACTATGACGTCCGACATTCGATTAACCAAGCAGCGTTGATGTTTCTATTGGGTTAACCACAGTTCCGTGATTTAATCAGATTGTGTACAGTGTCTAGTGACTTTTCATAGAGATGGCCTTATTACGCGACAATTATCCAGTCCTAAATTTTAATGTGAAATAACCTCTCCTACATTCTGCTTAAAACCCCGGAAATAACCAGAAATTATCACAGAATGTTGCCTGATATAATATTATGGCACATAAAGTAGAATTAAATACAACAGACTTACTTGATTAGTTCAATATCTAGTAGATGACATAACTTGAATACATTAGCCTCTAACTGGAATGAACTTCCTGTTACTTGCATCACTTGTAACCAATGACGATTACGAATCTCCTGAAATTTCAAAATAAAAGTTAATATCAAATGAAACTTTAGATCAGAAATGAAAAAATTTGAATTTTGAAGCCAGAATTTAACAGAACATATCTTTTTAAATTTTAATTGGAAATTCACATCATAAATGATATCTAAAAATGTGATTTTTAATAACCTGATTACAGCTGACATGTGTTTGTATAGGCATCCTTTATGAGAGAATATTGGTTGAATTCTAAATATGACTAAACAAAAATGAAAGTTTGAAAATCATTAGGATTCTTCCTTAAAAGCTAATGAAGAATCTCATAAGTTTAAAAAAATTATATCAGGTTCAATTTCATTTCAATAATTTGCTTGCACGAAGGGGTCTTTAGCAGCGGGAGGAAACCAGAGGTCCCGGAGAAAAACCACGAGGTTGGACAGGCGACCCTACTCCTTGTCACGTACAACTGGGAAATCGAAACACTGCCAGTTGACTAAATGAAAGACCTTATGATACAACGTGCACACGCTAACCATTCGGCCATCCAACCCCCTATAAACCTTATGAACTATTCCACCATGTTTTAAAACATTCTATTGAGAATATGTAGAGCATTTACAAGAACAGTTGGATGGACTGGTGGATTCATCTAACGGAACAATATATACAAATTGTACGGCTATATTCAATGTAGGCATATTAAAAAAGGGAAGTAATTTCATGCAAGGTTAGGACTAATATTCAGAAAGACATCATGCTATTTGGAGAAAAGGGTAAAGACTTCTGTATCTGCCTGATATAAATCTTTGGTTTAAGAGAGAGAGAGAGAGAGAGAGAGAGAGAAATGGGGTTTAAGTCCACTAAACACAAACTAGGTCATTTCGGGACTAACATGGTTCAATTTTATTTCAATAATTGACTTGTGCGTAGGGGTCTTAATCAGTGGGAGGAAACAGGAGCACCCGAAGATAAACCATGAGGTTGGGCTGGTGACCCTACTCCTTGTCATGTACAACCTGGGAATCGAAAACCATGCCAGTTGACTCAATGACAGAGATTATGATACAACACGCACGCGCTAACCATTCGGCCATCCAACCCCCACTTTGGTTTAAGAGACTAATACATTAGCTGAAGATTTTCTCATCAACAGTAGGCAAATAAAATCAACTTGAATTTAAAAGGAAATAATTTAATTAAGGAATGTATTGGTGTACGGCCCATTGAAGTTGCTTTAAACTATTCCAGTTGAAACTTGATGTGATCTATCTAAATATGTATATCGTACTTTCTACATCTATAAATAAAATGATACTAACACAAGGTACAATTTTATAGATACACAATTACTGAGTTTAATACTAAGCGACATTTCGACAAGGATACTCTCGTATTTATCAAGCAAATGAGTTTAATATTAAAGACGAGAGTATCCATGTCGAACCGACGCTTAGCATCAAACTCAGTAATTGTGTATCCATAAAATTGTACCTTGTGTTAATATGTTCAATTACTAAATACCTATCAAAGAAGAAAAAAAAAAACTTGATACTGTTACAGTTATTTAACTATACTAACATTAATTACCTTTTTACCCTAAGCCATTGTAATGAAGAATAAAATGATTAATATAAATGAAATGTGTATTTTTAAACATGCTGAATTCTCTAGAAGCAAAATAAAAAATTGTCTAATATATATGGTCAATGACAGTATGAAATAACCATATATACCGGCAGTGATTTATTATTATCAGAATGTGTAAGCGTTTTGGACATTTTTCTTTTTTTTTCCCACAGATGGTATATCCTTTTTTGTTTTAAATAAGAAACAAGAGTCCATCTGAAAGCAGGTTGAACAAGAAGGCTTCCAAAGAATATTATAGGCTTCACTACTTGCTCATGGGCGACAGAATAGTTGTGATTTGTGGGAATGGAGAAGACAATGCTATCAATTTTAAAATATAAATGGTTGAGACTTTTTTTTACGAGTTATTAACGATAAAATGTTAATGAATCATATCTATAATTAGATGGTATATCCTTTTTTGTTTTAAATATCAAACAAGAGTCCATCTGAAAACAGGTTGAAAAAGAAGGCTTCCAAAGAATATCATAGGGTTGACCACTTTCTCATAGGCGACAGAATAGTTGAGATTTGTTGAAATGCAGAAGACAATGCTATCAATTTTAAAATATAAATGGTTGAGATTTTTTTTTACAAGTTATTAACAATAAAATGTTAATGAATCTAATCTATAAATTAATGAGCATTAGAAGCATTTCTACGGAAGAGTATTCATGCCATTAAGAATTGGGTTGCTCAATGTGTTAAAATTTCATTTCTTTTATAGTCTTAATGGCACTAATATACTCTTACGTACATTTCTTTTATTCTGAAAAAATATACATCATGCTGACAAGCGTAAAAATAAAAAATATATTCTGTGATTGGAGTGACATGCATACTCACTGGTACATCAAACCTATTATCATCCTGACATGTAGATAATTTGTATTAATTGTTGAAGAATAAGCATTTTATAATAAAAAAAATCTTATAAAATAAACTAAATTTTGGAAAGCATATTTGATATTTCATGTTTCTAAATGCCATATTTGCCTGCAGCATCAATTTAGCATTCTTCAGGCCTGGAAATAACGGTTTTAGACGAAACTGACAAAATGTCAGGCACTATCTTACATTTTCCACATAGTGCCAGACATGTATTAATAATATCAGCAAAAAAGACATATCAGTGCCGGACAAAATGACTGGCTCTCCAGAGGTTTTGTGCCTGACAAAGCCAGAATCTGTGCCTGACATTGTCAGTGACAGGTGCCTTATTTCCAGGCTTCTTATTCATTTAAAATAAAAAGAAGCAAACATTCTATTTCAATAGTATATACCACACAGCGTCTATTTATATTCACAGCACACTTAAATATTTCAATATTTAATAGTAAAACCTACCTTTGATGCTAGTTTGTGAAGTAGAGGGAAGACTTCTAGATATGTCTGTAGTTTAGTCTTTAAATCATTGTACGCATCCCAGTCTTTGAGTTTACTTGGTAAAGCTAAGCATTCATCCCAATATGTTTCCACCTGAAAACCAACATTCATCACAATATAGTTCAAAAATACTACTTCAACCATATAAAAAACAATTATTTTTGTTCTCAGCTAGACAATCCTTACAAAACATCAGATACAAGAAAATTTCCTTTATTTTTGAGTCAAAGGATCAGTATTGTCTCATCATGTTGTTAACAGTTATGTATGATCGAGTATCACACAGAGAGAGAGAGAGAGAGAGAGAGAGAGAGAGAGAGAGATGGGGTTTAAGTCCACTAGACACAAACTAGGTCATTTTGGGACTAACATATGGTTCAATTTTATTTCAATAATTCAGTTGAGTTTAGTGCTCCTTAGAAGTGGGAGGAAATTGGCGGACTCAGAGAAAACCCACAAGGTTGGACAGGCGACCCTACACCTTGTCACGTACAACCGGGGAATCAAAACTACTTGAGTTGACTCAATAACAGACCTTATGATACAGTCCGCACAAGCTAACCATTCAGCCATCCAACCCCCTCTATAATTGTCAGCAACATTTATCAGGGTTGAATACTATGACACATTTCTGCATTCATTCAGAATTTTTTATGGAGTTACTTCCGGTTACTGGGCTAAAATATTTATGTGTGATAAGGGTCAGGATTTTCTGATACCCAGAATATTTTTTCAAAAGAATTTGTAGAAAAACATCTTTAAATGATAATCGGTACGATTAATGAAAAGCATAAAAAGTAAAATTAATCACTGAATAACCATGTCCTGTAAATAATAAATCTTTATATATTACGTTTAAAGGAATAAAAATGGCAAATATGTGGACCATAATTTCCTACCTCCATAGATGCAGCTTCTAAGTCCACGTCTGCCCATAATGTGTCTCTAAATCTATTGTCAAACCTGATAAACTTCTGGAATAATCCATATAACTGGCTCAACAGATCTAGTTCCTAAAAAAAATAATATAAATAATGTCAAATTAAATTTTATATGATTTGAAAAATATATATAAATAATTTCAGATTATATCTTCTATTTTATCTGTGTCGCCTGTCCAACCTCGTGGGTTTTCTCCAGTTTCCTCCCACTGCTAAAGACCCCTATGCGCAAGCGAATTATTGAAATAAAATTAAACCATATGTTAGTCCCGAAATGACCTAGTTTGTGTCGAGTGGACGTTAAACCCCATTTCTCTCTCTCACTATTTTATCTGTGATACCACCCTGGGTGGAAGCGAGAGAGAGGGAGAGAGAAATGGGGTTTAACGTCCACTCAACACAAACTAGGTCATTTTGGGACTAACACATGGTTCAATTTTTTTTTCAATAATTCCCTTACGTGTAGGAGTCTTTAGTAGTGGGAGAAAACTGGAGGGCCAGGAGAAAACTGGAGGACCAGGAGAAAACCCATTTGGCCACCCCCCCACCCCCACCCCCGGGTGGAAGCAGTGAAATCTTATGAGTTTAACATCCTACTGTTCTGCTCTAAGATAATGAAGATGGGCATACGCGATACAGTCTGCTATGATGGAAATTTTTCTTGGATACTGGCTGTACTGCCTACTTTTATATCAAATTCCTACTGCCAAGGGTTCTTTTATGTGTTCACAGGACCTCAGTTTTTCATCCCCATCCAAATGACTAAATGTTATCCCTTGCCAGGCCCTCCTTCCTGCACCACTGACAAAGGAGAACCACAGAGGAAAAGAAAATCCCAATGAACTTTCTCAGTCGACAGGACCCCCAGGTTAGCGAGCAAACATCTTATTCACTGAGTCACTGTGGTTCCCCGGTGGAAGCAGACGTTCACTTCAAGCTAGTAGAAATAATTCAAGTAAAATAAAACAATGACTGATTGCAAGCCAATGTGTTACTCACTGAGCTGCCGTGGTTCCCTGATGGAAGCAGACGTTTACCCCAAGCTAGTAGAAATAATTCAAGTTAAATAAAACCGTGATTTATTGCAAGCCAACGTCTTACTCATTGAGCCACCGTGGTTCCCTGGTGGAAGCAGACGATTACCCCAGCTAGTAGAAATAATGCAAGTAAAAAATAAAACCTTGACTTATTGCAAGCCAATGTCTTACTCACTGAGCCACCTGGGTTCCCCGAGGGAAGCGGACATTTCCACCCAGCTAGTAGAAATAATTCAAGTAAAATAAAACCGTGACTTATTGCAAAAACAAAAGCATGTGTTATAACTTGTTTGTTACTTACCTCACCAGTTTTATCTAATTCAAGAAAAGGTTTACAAGGAATGCCAAATAACTTGGAAACAGAATCGAGAGTCTTTCGTTTAGCGTCATACATTGTATATCTGCCTTGAAAGTCTTGAAGTCGTGAAACAGCTTCTCCTGGTGGAATACCAGGAACTGATGGACCTTGAGCATCAAAGGCATTACGGAATTGTATTACTTCCACAACAAATGTCTATAACAAAAAAAACGTGCTGTCACTATTTAAGTTATCTAGTTGTACACTTATATAAACTATGTCAGAATATTTTCTACAAATTTATCAACTTCGCAATTACCCAGAGAAAAAGAGAAATAACAATTAACGTCCCCTTGACACAAAATAGGTCATTTCGGGACTAACATAATGTTCAATTTTTAATTCGCTTGCACGTAGGACTCTTAAGCAGTGATAGGAAACTGGAGGATCCGTAGAAAACACACGAGGTTGGACAAGCGACCCTACTACTTGTCACATACAACCGGGGAATCGAAACCACACCAGTTGACTCAATGACAGAGCTTATACAACACCTACGCGCTAACCATAATTAATCAAATAAACGACAAGAGAATCATTGTAAAACCGTAGCTCTGATTAAAATATAGTAATGTGATTTCACTAATGTTTTGGTTGTAGATAGTGTATATTTCCATCTTTCTGACTGTATCAGTATTGTGCTTGAAAACGACAAGGAAATCTTTGTAGAAACGTGGACCTGACCAAAATATAGTAGTTAATATATATTTCCATCTTTCTGACTATATCACTATTGTACTTGAAAACGACAAGAGAATTATTGTAGAAATGTGACTCTGATTAAAATATAGCAATTGTTTTACATAGAACTCATGTGTTTATTTAATGTGTTCTATTACTAAATGCTGTTTAAACAGTTCATTAATAATATCCAGTACCTTGACTTGTTTGTCTAATTCCTGTTCAAATGCTCCTCGTCTTTCCTTTAGTAACACTTCTCGTACTTGATCAGCGAGTTCTATCAATTCCTGCCACTTCTCTCGCAGTTCATCAACCTCTTCTACTTCATGACGAGGCAGACGGAGCTCAAATTCCCTAAAAACAAGACCCAGTAAAATCACCCGTAAGATAACTACTGCTCCAAATTCTCATGTTGTAAAACTACAAATTCTGGTTTAATAAGCAAAGACGGTCTAGTTTTCAAATTACCAAGGTCACAATATCTTGATTTCAAGCTATATGTTTCATAATAAAGACAAAAATACTTTGCCACAAATCTGATTTTGAATCAAAATTTGACGTTTTCGATACACATTTTGTTTGCCTGAAAATTGACATTATTTTTCTACATCAATTCAAATCAGTAAGCGCCCATATAATAGCCTAGTGTAGTACTTTACTTCAATGCCAGGAAGTGAAATATTTGGCATTTTCAAACAGAGAGAGAGAGAGAGAGAGGGGGGGAGGGGATGGAGTTTAACGTCCACTCAACACGAACTAGGTCATTTCAGGACTAACCTATGGCTCAATTTTATTTCAAAAATTCGCTGGGAGGAAACCGGAGAACCTGGAGAAAACCCACAAGGTTGGACAGACGACCCTACTCCTTGCCACATACAACCGGGGAATCAAAACCAGGCCAGTTGACTCGATGGCAGATCTTATGATACACTGCGCACGTGCTAACCATTCGGCCATACAACCCCCCGCATTTTCAAACAACTTTGGAAGTTAATTAACATGAGATGCATTCTAGTTACTGAAGTAGATAATGTTGAGAGATTATATATTTAGGGTTGTGATTCAACGCCCCTTAACCTACCTCCCTGTTTGAACTATTAGATCATGGTTAACAGGTGAATCCCTATATTCAACCACACATTTTCTTTACGATTATGATTAAATATATTCCTTGAGTGGCATTTAGTGATTGAGCACATTAAAAACACAACACAATTTATATGGAAAATAATAACTGGTTTATACACATATAGCACAATGTTTCGACAAGTGTTCTCTTATTGTGCTTGATAACGATAAGAAAATACTTGTCGAAACGTCGTGCTATATGTGTATAAACCAGTGATTGTTTTCCATATAAACTGTGTTGTGTCTTTTTATTGCACAATCGCTAAATGCCACTCAAGGATTATAAATATAGTACTGTTCTCATTTTAATTAGAACAGGCCCCAAGTTCACACAGCATTTTCAGATTTAAATTAAGAATTTACTCAAAATTGTTCACCTTATTTGAGCTATTATATAGCCCTTTATATAAATTTTGTTGTTTTAATGTATCAAATACTTCAATAAGAAACTATGTACAATATTTTTTGTTTCTGGATCAAAGATATTTATCATAAACAGCGAGTGAAAGTTGAGTAAATTCTTAACTTAAGTCTGACAATGCTTTGTGAACACGGGGCCAGCTCAATCTAACTTGAATTTAAAACATGGATCATTGTACATACCTTAGTTTAGAATACATGGTTTCTATAGGTAGATATATTCCATCGATTTTATTCTCCATATCTCGTAAATCTTCTAATAGATGTAGTGAACTATTTAACTGATCTAATGACTGTACATACTGTTCTAGTCTCTTTCTTACATTCTCTCTATAGCTTACTGCATTATCTAACTTTTTCTATTAAATAAACATTATCATACATTTATTCAACATAGTATACAAGAAACATGTTTACATATTAAAAATTGCATTGTGTGGCAAGAAAATTAAATTTGAAACCATCAAAATACAAAAAGGAATACTCTTTAAAAATTATAGAGAGAAACTATAAAATTTTACACAATAAGACAAATTTCATGAATAAATTACAAAAAAATCAAAGCTCTCATAAAATGATCATTTAATCTTCTTTTTCTTTTTTTCCAAACAATCTAACATAAAAAGAGAGAGAGAAATGGGGTTTAACATCCACTCGACACAAACTAAGTCATTTCGGGACTAACACATGTTTCAATTTTATTTCAATAATTCCTGTAGGGGTCTTTAGCAGTGGGAGGAAACCGGAGGACCCGGAGAAAACTCATGAGGCTGAACAGGCGACCCTACTCTGTGTCACATACAACCTGAGAATAGAAACCACGACATTTGACTCAATGACAGACCTTATAATACAACGTGCTCGCGCTAACGATTCGACTACCCAACCCCCCACAATCTAACATAAATTTATGGGAGGGATTTGGCGCAATGGTTAGAGAGTAGGATTTGTGACCGAATGGTTGCAGGTTCGAGACCAGAATTGTGCGCCGAGTTCTAGTGTCCTTGAATAAGACACTTTATCCCTGTATTCCAGTCTACCCAGCTGTAAATGGGTACCGGTAGGATGGTGTATGTATTATACAAAAAACTGTTGCGCTCCTTGAAGCAGCATATGTTGGGGCTCTTTCTAAGAGTTCAGGGGTAAAGGGAGGTAATCAGGCTTTACCTGGATCCTAGAGACCAAGATAATAATTGTGTAGCGCTTTGAGCATAAACTTGGTTTATGGATATAGCGCATTATAAATATACTCATTATTTTATTATTTATATACCTTAGCTTCTTCATGTAATACTGTAGCAAACTTGGTCTTCCAGGCCATAGCAAAACCATGTAGAGCATCTTTAATAGGATCCGTATACAAACATACCGGACCAACAGGTAGTAGTGTAGGTATACCTAATACTTTCTTCTCTATAGATAGAAATCTCTCTACCTCACGTTTAATAGCCCGTATACCAGGATCAGCATTAATAAACTCCGAGAAATTACCATGCATATCATCCTTCCATAGAAAATTATAATAACTAAAGTGAAACAGGTGCTTATTTACATGACTATCTACTTCTGAAATAAAAAATATTCAGAATACGGATTACTCAAAGCTTTTTAGACTGAAGTAATAAGGAAATAAATCGGGACATGAAAATGATGTCAGATTTCACAGAATGTCATAGTATTGAGATGTCAGATGTGACATAATATCACAGAGTTTTAACAAATTTCATTCAGAACTTTTTCATGTATCGCATTCACAAGCTTTAAAAGTCAAATTATGAATGGAAATTTAAATCTAACAGAGTTTTAAAAATTTCATCAAAGGCTTTGTCCTGTATCTGGAGAGAAAGATGGGGATAACATGGTTCAATTCTATTTCAATAATTCGTTCTTTAGCAGTGGGAGGAAACCGGAGGACTCGGAGAAAACCCAAGAGGTTGGACAGGCGACCCTATTCCTTACAACCGCAGAATAAAAACCACACTATTTGACTCAATGACAGGCCTTATGATACAGTGTGCTCGCGCTAACCATTCGGCCATCCAACCCCCTTACATCCACATTAAATGAGGGCATATAAATATAAAGGTGGACAGACTGACAGGCGCTTGTGATGACAATATACATCCACATTAAATGAGGGCATATAATTATAAAGTGAATATATAATTACCATCTATAACACAAGCTAATTGTAACTTCAATTGTTCAATAGTCTCATCTGATGTTATTAATGGATAGAAATCTTCTTCTCCATCAATTCCTAACCATGTTATATCTGTCATAAACAAAAACATAAATATCACTGAGCATAGTTCAACTTTATTTTAATCATTTGCTTGCACGTAGGGGTCTCTAGCAGTGGGAGGAAACAAAAGGTTGGTGTCACTTTAAGACCAATGAAATGAAGTGAGATAGGGTTTAACATCCTACTGTTCTGTTCCGATTAGGCTAATGAAGAAGGGCATATGCCATAAAGTGTGCTATGAGGGAAATTTTGGCCGTACAGTGGCGTTACAGCCTACTCTTATATCCAATTCTAACTGTGAAGGGTTCTTTAACATGCATGCCAATGTGTACTTGGGACCTCGGTTTTCAGTCCCATCAGAATGACTATACATAGACCCTTGCCAGACCCTTCGTCCTAGACCACTTACAAGAGGGTACCACGCCGGAAAATCCCGATGAACTTTCTAGATCTACACCGAGATCGAACATGGGACCTCCAGGTACGATCCAACTTTTTACTGCCAGAGTCACCACGGCTTCTAAGACACTGCATAGTGTAATTCAGCAACAAACGATTTATTTCTGTTAGAGTACAATCTGATTCAAATACAGATCTATATTTCGTTTTGTTTTTTTATACATTCGATGACCTACACTACATGAAGATCAGACAGGTTGAACTGGAAGATCTTGTCAGTGGTCGTACGAGCGGCTTTTGACCATATGACGTCAGACATTGATTAATCAATCAGTGTTGGCGTTTCTGGTGGTTTACCCACAGTTCGTGTGCATCGCACGCCAAGAACTTGCCGTAACAGACTGTTTCATTGGCTAATCCCTCACATTACCCAGAATGCAGCTTATATAACAAGTCTTCCAGATCATAGTGTTGTGAAAACAAATAAAATTTTGAAAAAAACAAAACGAAATAGGGGAGAGAGAAAAATGGGGTTTAACATCTACTCGACACAAACTAGGTCATTTTGGAACTAACATAGGGTTCAATTTTATTTCAATAAGTCACTTGCACGTAGGGGTCTTTAGCAGTGGGAGGAAACCTGGAGAAAACCCATGAGGTTGGACAGGCGACCCTACTCCTTGTCACGTACAACCTGGAAATCAAAACCATGCCAGTTGACTCAATGACAGACTTTTTGAAGCAGCGCAAACGCTAACCATTGGGCCATCCAACCCCCAGAAATGAAAGAGTATCTGTGTTTTAATCAGATTGAGTATAAACTATTCACCTTTATTAGCTTCTATAATTGCAGTAGATATATCTGTTATAGCTTTCTGTACAACATCTAACTGAGGTTCAACTATTATATTTGGTATACTAAACTTGACTTGTATCTCAAATCTACAACAAAAAATAAAGTTTGTTAGTCTTAAAAATAAATCATGTTTTAGTTTTAGACAATACTTAGCGACAGATGTGGTAGACCAAATTTCCTTGAAACACAAAATATGATTTGATCAATGATGGTACATCTTCTTTCCGATGAAATGAAATGGGGTTTAATGACCTTTTGTTCTGCTCCAACTGGGCGAATGAAGAAGGGTCTTTTCGATGAAATAAGTAGATCAGAAATTAGTCTGTTGAAAGAGTCCTGTATTCATTAGCCCAGTATAGGATGTTAAACCCCATATCATTTCATTTCATTTTCTGTTGAAAGAACATTAGTTTTATACAACTCAAAAAATTCTAGCTTGCCATGATACAATGATCTGTCAAACGACAGAGGTTCAAAGGCTCACAGGTTTAACCATTTTGTAAGATGGTGCCTATGTTTTGAAGAAGGCCCTTTGCATCTGATTTTAAAGAATAAGAGAGAAAGAGATTGGGTTTAGCGTCCACTCCACACAAACCAGGTCATTTCGGGACTAAGACATGGTTCAATTTTATTTCAATAATTCTGTTGCATGTAGGAGTCTTTAGCAGTGGGAGGAAAAAACCCTACTCCTTGTCACATAGAACTGGGAATCGAAACCCCACCAGTTGACTCAATGACAGACCTTATGATACAGTGTGCATGTGCAAACCATTCGGTCATCCACCCCCTCTGCATCTGATTTTAATAATAATAATAATAATGATATTTGCATAGCGCAGCTATTCAATCCACTAGGGAATGCACCAGAAGCTAGAAAATGTTCTCACTTGTTAATGATAGTTACTAAATAATCAAGTTTTCACTTTTGACACAGAATCAGATTGTCAGATATTCCACATAACTGATGTACTGTATCGAAAAGTTCTTGATCCAAATGATTTCAAATTATAAGTAGGTACATCAAATAACATTTTGCCATTTGATTGTAATGATATCGAAGGTGATACAGTAAGTAATAATAGATTTTCAGGTAGTCGTTTTCACCTCTCAATTTTTGCAGGCAAAGTAGAAACATAAAACTTACTGTAAATTTGTGACTTCTGCAATTGTACTGTCCCCAGACCAAGTCATATTAGATAATGCAGACATGCCTGATTTGGGTCTCTCTGATACGGCTGATCCTCCTCTACTGTATGGTGTTTCATGCCTACTATATGGTCTTGGTGTGCTACATTCACTAGAGAACTCTGAACCTGGTGACAGAGCACGTACAATCTCACCAGTACAACCTGATGCATCAGCTAGTGTTGCTAGTGATCGACTTGCAGCATTTAGAACAGCTTCAAATACCTGATCTCTGTAAAAAGCTGTAATGAACAGGAACATTTTTATTTAGAGAGAGAGAGAGAGAGAGAGAGAGAGAGAGAGAGGGGGTTTAAGGTCCACTCGACACAAACAAGGTCATTTCGGGACTAACACAGGGTTTAATTTTATTTCAATAATTCGCTTGTGCATTTAGGGGTCTATAGTAGTGGGAGAAAACCAAATTTTTTCAGACTAATTCAATTCAATAGTTCAATTTATAGTAGAACTTTTACAAAGAGCTAAAGAAAAAAAACTTTAAAAAATTGTAAAAATGAAATGTAACGTCCTACTGTCCTGCTCCAACTGGGCTAATGAAGACGAGCATACACCATACAGTGTGCTATGAGGAAAATTTCTGCCCGGACAACAGCGCTATGGCCTACTCTTATATCGAATTCCAAATGCCAAAGGATCTTTTACATGCACACCACAGTGGCTCCCTTGTGCACAAGACTTTAATTTTTCATCCCATCCGAACGACTAGACAGCTGTCCTTATCAGGCTTAAAAAATTGTAAACAAGGGGAAATAAAACCTACCGATTAATCTGAAGACTAATGATTCTTCTAATAAAGCTTTCTGTTTTTCTCTCTGTACCTCTTCTTCATCAACAATTAACAACATCTTCTTATCTTTCTTATTATTCTCACCCTTTAAAAATGATATGAAATGAAATGGGGTTTATAACATCCTACTTTTCTGTTCCGACTGGGATAATGAAGACAGGCATACGCCATACAGTGTTCTATGAGAGAAATTTTGCCCGGGCAGCGGCACTATGGCCTACACTTATATCGAATTCCAACTGCCAAGGGATTTTTTACGTGCACGCCAATGTATACATTCATCATGTCTACCCACAGGATCAGCAAATGCGAATTATAGTTATGTGAATAAGCTTGAATGAAATAGTTTTTAATCAGGAAAATCTTATTAAAAATAAACTATAACACATAGTTATGGAAGAACAATTACTTATCTATTTAGGCCACGTTTTGAAGAGTATTCTCTCAGTGTTTTCAAGCAAGTTCAGTAACAAATGTGTAGGGCAGTTATATATAGACAAGTAATAACAACAGATCAGAAACCATTAACATTAAAAGGAAAGAAACAGTCTTTAAAAGCTCACTGTTATTACTACAAAAAGAGAGTTAGTAGAAATGTTCATATAGAATTATGATTTGTTTTCAAAATAAAAATAGAGAGTAAGTTAGTTAATAGTATATTAATAAGTATTTAATCAAATTTTACAACATATATTCACATCTTCTCACATACAGTAGAATCTGTATTAAGCAGTCACTCAAGGGAATTTTCATGACTGACATCTTAACAGGAGTGGCCTATTAATAAAATCTCAAATGAAAAAAATAGAATTTCTACAGAGAGAATTTATCATGACCGCTTACAAGATGATGTCACTGAATAGAAGTGGTTACTTATACAGATTTTACTGTATAAATATATTTTTTTTGTGAAGCAGGCACATCTTCATCAAATCCATTTCAGTGTTGATGTATTTATAAGAACTATAATCAAATACTAGTCCAGAATATATAACAATTCATGCATGTGTTTCAATACAATATAAAATCAAGTGAAAAGGTGCGGAGGTTAATATACGAACTGGGACTTTTCTTTTTGTAAATAATCCTACAGATTTCAGCAGGTTTTTCTCGTGCTTGGGCTTAACATTTCTCGACTTTGAGACAATGGACATCTTGGAATGTGTAGAACTCTTCATGGTGACAATGTATTCCTGAAAGCGGCAGAATGGAGTCAAAAGCAAATTAAGCATAAATTAAAATACAAAAAAGGGAAGGCACTTTCTAATGAGGTTAGTTTTTTTAGATTGCATTTAAACCAATATATTAATGTCACTAGTGATATCTAAAGCAAATATAAAGCTTATTTTCAAAGGCTTTAAATCAAACCTTTATTCTACTTATATTGCAAAAATTAGAAAATTGTTCAATATAAATCTAATATAAAGCTAATTTAGAGGTTTAAAATTAAATTATCATTAAACTAATGATTTTCTAATATAAAATTTACAACACTCATTGAGGCTACAGATAAATAAAAAGAACCACCACCATGAATGACTGTCAACTACTGGGAAAATTATAAACTAATTTGTAAATATACTACATTAAACATACATTATGCAAGAGCTAAATCTGATTATTGCAAGTCTTAATTTAGGCTTCAGATGTTATAGAAATTATAAATTAGATCTTTATTTAAATAACAAGACCAAAATCAACTCTGTAGACCCACGGATGGCTCGGCTACAGCTCGGATTTAAATAGGATTTCACTAATTGATTAAATCAAATAAGGGGTAACCTGATGAAAATACATCAGTTAGATCGAGGCTAAATGATAGAGTGTACTTAGCGAGGCCACTGTAAACCGTTTCCGTATGCCATTGAAAACTCTACTTGATAATCGAGATATGTAGGTGGAGTTAACGCCTGTCAATCAAACGATCGGCGAAGGTGAAGACACATTTCGCTACCATTTCTAGGCAAATATTACAACGATGATAACTATGTTCAGAATAAAGTAATTTGACTGAATTTTTCAATATATTCTTCTTTCATCATCTACTTTTGAACTGTTATAGCAAGAATGGCCAACTCTCTATAAAAATCTCCCATAATGTATCTTTAAACACAAGAATTCTATGGAAAACAATTACTGTACAGCAAACATCGCATAAGTCGGATCTTCGCTAAACTCGGATAAAATTGTTTAGACCCTTTGATCTTTCAAGTTTTTCTTATTATATTTCTGTGCGCAAATCGGATTTTCTAAGTCAGATCTTTGCTCAACTCGGATCAAAATGTTCGGTCCATTTGATTGAATTCCAGTTTTTTTCCTTCACCTAAGTCAGATCGGCAGTACAAAGTCAGTTTCATCTCGATGGTCTAAAACACAGTTAGCTATTCCATGCACAGAGCCCCAAAATACTTTCCTCTATCATTTTCCTCAAATTAGCCTATTTGACGCAAGGCAATAATAGAATTTTCCCTGAAAATTCGAAACTCGCTGTCTGCTGTACGTGACAATTTTCGGGAAAATTTAGGACATTTTTCAAAAATGCCGACAAAACAGAAATTATCTACTCACACATACGAACAAAAGCTTGAAATGTGAGTTTGAATCAATTATTATCTGGCTCTTGTAGTTTATTTCTAATCGAGCTAAGATTGAATTTTGGTCTTTGCTTAACTCGGATCTTTGCTTAACTCAGATAAAATTGGTCAGTCCACTTAGATCCGACTTATGCAAAGTTTACTGTATTTCCAATCAAAGATACACTTCTACAATGATTCTCTTGTAGCTCTTATTAAAAATATAGTAATTGTTTTCCATAGAATTCTTGTGTTTAATATAACGTGTTCAATTACTAAATGAGCTTTAAACAGGTAAAAATACTACCTTTTTGGTGCTAAGTAAATTAGCTACATTCTGTAAACCTTCTACAACTGTTGCTACATTATGGTGTAACTGTTGGGATCTTTCTTTTATACTCTCTAACATCTCCTCACGGAATTCAACTGGTGACTACAATCAAATCAAACATAATTAAAAGTAATTAGCAACGGACCTTCTTCATGAAAATTTAAAACTAAAATATTTGAAGAATTCTGCCCTTTCATTGGCCAACCAATGAATAGACTGCTTTCTTAAGATATTTTAGTTTAAGATACTGTGAACAAGATCCCAGGTGCATTTATAAAATTCATAATTAGAGCCCAGGAAGATCAGGGGTGAGAGAAAGAAATGGGGTTTAACGTCCACTCAACACAAACTAGGAAATTTTGGGACTAATATATGGTTCAATTTTATTTCACTAATTTGTTAGCGAGTGGGGGTCTTTAGCAGACGAGAAAACCAGAGGACCCGGAGAAAACCAACAAGTTTGGACAGGCGACCCTACTCCTTGTCACGTACATAGGGGAATCGAAATCACGCCACATGACTCAATGACAGACCTTCTGATTCAAAGCACAATGGGCACGCGTTAACCATTCAGCCACCCAACCCCCACCAAGAGTTACAATTTGTACAAGGATGTTATTCCTCAACCAACTAAATGGTTGCTTTCTTAAGATATTTTAGTTCAAGATTTTGTGAACTAGGCCCCAGGTATATAAGTGCACTTATTAATTTCATAATTTGGGACTGGGGAAGATTAGTGGACATTGTAAAAATTACACCCATGGTGCACTGTACTGTGTCTCTATTTGTTTCAAAACTTCTGCTTCTTTATTTTTGTTTGTAACAAAAGGGAAACAATCATGTGAAAAAGACAGGTTTTCCAAACCAAAATGTGCTAACTGCATGCTATGCCATTTTGGATGTAAATAAAGAGAATTTTCTCAGAAAATACCAAAGGATTTTATAACAATATTTCATTTGTTCTTTAACAAATAATTACTATCTAAAAATAGATGTCAGAAAAAGAGCTTTTCATGTCTTCACTTGTGTCAAGCCAAATTATCGTATTATTGTTTTTTAAAATACAGATGTGACATCACCCTTTGATGTTGGCGTACCATTATTCAAATAATCGTATGGGCACCTTGCAAATCGTACATTATTTATACTAGTGAAATATTGGACTCGCGTGAGGTATTTCACTGTAAAAGCATGTGCGGAGTGTCTGTATTTTAAGTCGCTTAATGGTCTCGAGCTTTAGACAGTACATAATTGAAGATATATGGTGAATATTCTTACCCATGTCTGTGAGAAAGCTAGTCGATTATCATAAAGACAGAAGTTGTTTATAATATCAATAACACCAATAACTTTATTCTTCATTAAATCATTGACTTTCTCCTGTATATTCTTTAGTTTCGATGTAGCTGTATGGATCTGATGTAAGAATGCATCTGTAAAAACAACACCATTGAATAAATATACATTATGGGAGATTAGAGAGATAACGAGTTGGCAGTTCTCACTATAATAGTTAAAAACTACATAATGTAAAGGGAATTTGCTGAAAATTTCAGTCAAATTGATCCACCATGAACCAAGAATTTAGCGATTGAAATTTCAGCCTAGCCTCGATCATCATTACTAAAGTCGGTAAGATTATCCATTTCATGATTAAATCATGAATGAAAATTGAGCAGCAAATCGGATCATAATCCAATAAATATTGCAGGCTAGTGTTGACATCGAGAGTTGATTATGGTCTGGATAAGTTAATTAATGTCTAATTAATAATTTAGATAACATTTCAGGCCTAAAGAAAGACTTGCAATAGGCAGATTTAGCTCTTGCATAATGTATGTTTAACCATCATAAATTATAAATATACTGTATGTGCATGTACATTGTACTTCAAGAAAGTAATGCATACGAAATTAATCTCACATGACAGAGGTTGAGATAAATATGTATTGAATTAATTTGAAATGATGAAATTTGATTTATCCTACCCTTGCCTAAAATGAGTGACTTCTTCTAAGACTAGGAAAGTATTTGAATCAAAATCGAACTTTTGCAATGTATGGCTTATCTTTAAGATTTAGTCCCCATCTTCTTTGCTTACACTTCTAACATATTTTAGTAAAACACCATTTACCAGAATTCAGGGGTTTCATTAAATATCACTGAAGGTGGGTAAAGTATCAAAGTAAGCAGCTAGTTTTTGGAGAGCGGAAGGCTTGAAAATAAGTGTTGCAGGTGCGAAATAACCTAGGGAGGTTCTGGGGCATGCTCCCCGGAGAAAATTTTGCATTTAGGCATGCAATATGGTGCAATTCGGTTGATTTTACACTACTTTCAGAAATTCATACACAAAGGCCAACTTTGTATTTCAATCAGAACCTACATCAGGTAAATATTTTTTAAATGTAAAAGTTAGCACAAGGTAATTAAAGATACATTATGTAAGATTTAGATAAAGAACTAGCCGTTCTTGCTATAATAGTTCGAAAGTAGATGATGTAAAATGAATAATTTGCAAATTTCATTCAAATTACTCTATTGCAAGCGAAGATATTAGCCTTTGAAGTTTTGACAGACGTGTGCAATAATTTCAACCACCGTACTGGTTGATCGAAGCTAAGTCTCGGTCCTCCATATTTGATTAAATCAAAGTATCGCTGAACCATTCTAATCTATTTAATATCAGAGAAATTTGATGCCATCGAGAGTTGATTAAGGCCTGGATCAGTTAATTAATGTCCAATTAATACTTTAGAAAACATTTCAGGCCTAAAGAAAGGCCTGTTTAACTTGTGAAAAGGTTTGAAAACTCAATTTGGTGCAGTCGCCGAAAATGGATGGAACTAACCATCAACGATCCCTTTATGAACCTCTTTTCTAATATAGCTATACCCGGTACATTAAATCAATACATTGTGATTTATTAAACTTGACAAAAATGTCATGTAAAATGCAATCTCCGGTCATCTAGAAAGATATTTTCATGTCAGCTATCTTTGTTATTTTCGCTGACAGACAATAAACAAGAATTGTATACCGTATTCAACTCAGCCAAGAATCAAGAATGGTCATTCTTCACAGTTTAACAGCAAGCCCCATAACTTAGGTGTAGGATTGGCTAGTTGCTACGTATTTCATTCCATGTCAGTTTACCGATATATATTGCGCGAAACCTAGTCGGTATAATGACAGTTTGCGAAAAAAAGTATGTCAAATTTCAATAATAGCTACATTTATACAGAATAATTTTCATATATAAATAATACCTACCTATATTCATGCTGTTCCAGGCTAATGTAATAAATAATACCTACCTATATACAGAATAATATAAATAATAACCACCTATATTAATTTGTTCCAGGCTAAATAATACCTACATCTATACAGAATAATATAAATAATACCTACCTATATTCATGCTGTTCCAGGCTAATGTACTAAGACCTGGTTGTAATTGTTGTTGTACATTCTCTATATGAGGTGTAAATAAATCACGTAATGATTCAGGTATAGATTCACATACTGTTTTATATTCATTTAATACTAATTCAAGATGTCCTTTATAACTCTTAAATCTTTCTTCTTGTTGCATTATACCCATAGCTGAATCAGGTATTTGTATTTCAAGTCGTGTCAACCATTTAGCTTCATGAATCAATTCTAATACTCTGTAAAAAAAACACAATCAATTAGTCCTTGAAATTCAATAAAATGGCATGAATACCAAACAAATTTATTTTATATTCTTGGTATATTGGGGGGGGGGGGACAGATATACAAATGAAAGTACTTGCACCTATGAAACACTTAAAACAAAAGAATAGCCACTTCTGATTCTTCATAAAATTTTTAATGCTTGTGTTGTCATAATTCTTTTGATATTACAAAACTTTTATCAGATCCTGCATTTTCAAAAAATGAAACTTTTGTGATTTTGGTTTATTTCATACTGGATTTGCACAAACTTTTTCTTTGGGTCCTATATTTGACAATCTGATTAAAACCCAGATTGTTTTTTTATAGTTCAAAATTTCGTTTTACTTGTCTTTACTAAGCTAGGATCTGGAAGAGTTGTTATATAACCCGCATTCTGGATGATATGAGGGATTAGCCAATAGAACGGTCTGTTATGGTGAGTTTTTGGCGCGAGTGAGGTAACCCACTAGAAACATCAACGCTGATTGGTTAATCAAATGTCTGATGTCATAGGGTCAAAAGCCGCTCGTATGACACCTGACACGACCTTCCACTACAAATGGTCAGATCTTCACGTAGTGTAGGCCATCAAAAATATAAAAAAATGAAACTAAATATAGATCTGTATTCTAATCAGATTGTATATTTGAGAACTTTTATCATGCCAAACAATGTGTGAATATATATTAATACAGTTGAGAGAGAGAGAGCAAGAGAGAGAGAGAGATCCCTTCGACACAAACTAGTTAATGTGGGACTAACATATGGTTCAATTATATTTCAATAATTCGCTTGCATGTAGGGGTCTTTAGCAGTGGGGAGAAAACCAGAGGACCAGGAGAAAACCCACGAGGTTAGGCAGGCGACCCTACTACTTGTCACGTACAACCAGGGAATTGAAACCCGCCAGTTGACTCAATGACAGACCTTATGATACAGCACGCACATGCTAACCAATCGGCCACCCAACCCCCCTCAGTTGATACAGAATATGAGAGAGAGAGAGAAATGGGGTTTAACGTCCACTCGACACAACTAGGTCATTTCGGGACTAACATATGGTTTAATTTTATTTCAATAATTCACTTGCGCATAGCGGTCACAGAATATGAAGCTGGAACAGAAGTTGAATAAAATATTGTCTAAACCAAAAACAAGATTTACTCAAATACAATAGCCTACCTTTCATCTGAATTAACGACTATTTTATTAGTAACTGGATGATGAACAAATAATGTAGCACGTAAACCACTTTTAGCCATATCTATTCTATTCTTCCATTGTGTAAACCATAGACTTTCAAACGTTACCAGAGCTGTGGCTAGTCTATTATATATTCTAACAATACGGCCAAACTCTGTTAACTGAGTAACAGCTTTTACATCACGGAAAATCTTCATGGGATCTTCTATACGTTTTAATAATTGACGTGACCAATAAATGGCCCCAGCTACAGGAGGTGCATTTCGTACAGTTTGTGGGTGCTCCTTAAAAAAGCAAATTGGAATTTCAATAGTATGATAAATATTAAATGATTTCAAACTTATCAGTATAATTAAAGATGCTTGGATGCAAAAACACAAAAATATACTTAAAGGAGCTAAATTGCTAATATTTGGGACCTAGAAAGTGACACACATGGGTCACAACTCATATAATAATGTAATATGAATGTATATAAACTGATTTACATTCAATCGTTTCCGTTTTTACTCTAATTTTAAATCGGTTATGTTCGGCGAAATACTCCAGAAGTCTCAATCGAATGGCAATCTCTAGCATCTGGTTGTTCCAGTCTACACCAATAGTATTTATTGTGTATGCTCTCCAGATAAAAATATGAAGTCCCCGTTTGACATGACTTGTGGAATATGTCTAGCCCTGTTCTTCGAGTCCCTTATTACAAATGGCGCTGAAACGCTTTATTGCACATGATTCGTGTACCAATGGTAAAATGTTTATTTTGTTTTAAATATTAGATATCGGAAGTCCATCTTTTCCAGGTAAGATGACAACATTAATGTTGATTTAAATTGACAAATAATTCGTGTTTTCAATGTCGAAGACTTTGGATGATATTGAGTTAGAGACTTGACTACTTTCAAAGCATTTTACCTTGGATGTTCAACATTTAATCTTTTCAATGATAAGCAATATTCAGTGCCCTTTCTATAAAAGACAATTGTAAAACTCATTTTATTTTGCTTTTACCTACCTTATTATTTTCATAAATCTTCTGTACTTCTTCTAAATCTGATTCATACCAGTTAAATAATTCAACAAATTTCTCAGCTACAGTTCCGCGTATTCCAGGTCGACTCTGTATAGGTGCAAACCTAATTAAGGAAAAGGTTTATAGGAACACTTTTAAAGTAAAATATCATTAGTTTAGAATTCACTCGACCATGAAAATTATTAATTAATTACTTTAATCAATATGATCAATATGACAAATGAAAAGTATATTGTCATATTGTGGTATATTCTAAATCATTGTGGTCTGAAACCTTATGTTTAAGTTAACACAAGTTGTCTCCCTTATGGTGTAGTTCTTCTGCCTTTTTGAGTAATAAAGAAAGAGATTGGAATTCTAACATGGAGAATGGTTGATTTTTATTTTCACCCACATGCAACTGTGTAACACCCCTGGATCCAAGGATCCGAATATAACAAAATATCTTACTTGGTGATAATCTCTAATCCTTGCTGTGTTTTCATCTTCCTAACAAATATAGCATGCATATAGGCACCAAGAAATTTCTCCAAATCTTGTATTATAGATAGAAAGTTTGTATAGTACGTATCAAACTTGTCTTTATCCTGAAATAATATATAAACACAAATTATATTTTTCTCTTTTCTCTTTTAGATGAGGGAAGTTGGGTGGCCGAAAGGTTAATGAGTGCATATTAGATCATAAGGTCTGTCATTGGAGTTGTATCGAATCCCCGCTTGTATGTGACAAGGAACAGGGTCGCCTGTCCAACCTCGTGGGTTTACTCCGGGTCATCTGGTTTATTCCTACTGCTAAAGACCCCTACGCACAAGCAAATTATTGAAATAAAATGGAACCATGTTAGTCCCGAAATGACCTAGTTTGTGTCAAGTGGACGTTAAACCCCATTTCTCTTGCTCTCTTTCTGTTACAGTGAGGATTTTTTGCGAATTAAATGTCTTTCAAACTGATTGTGACAATGGGCCTGTTACACGAAATTTTAACTAAGATAAAATCCAGATTTTAGTAATTTGATTGGATAATATTAGATTGATTTTAGTGCTTAGCCAATCAAAATAGAAGTATTTACTCAAATTTAGATTTTATCTTTAGTTAAGATTTCGAGAAGCAGGGCCCTGGTTTTCGTACATTCGTACTGTGTTGTCCACCTGATCACCTGATTTTAAATTACAAATTATTACAATGTTTTCAAAAATATAGCTACAGACATGTATTACTTGTTTCTTATTTTCAACAGCTAAAAAAACCCAACAACTGTATTATTAAGAATAACTTTAATTACCTTAGATTCTACATCTAACATAGTTTTAGTCGTAACATTTTCACTCATTGCTTTCGTCATATTGTTGACATGTTTTTCTATTATATATGAGACACTAGGTCCATCATCTTCTTCATCTTCCGGATAATAACGTCCTATAATAAATATATCATGTCATTATTTTCAGTGTGTGTGTGTGGATGGGGGAGGGGGGGGATGGCCGAATGGTTAGCACGTGCGTGCTGTATCATAAGGTCTGTCATTGAGTCAACTGGTGTGGTTTCGAATCCCCGGTTGTACGTGACAAGGAGTAGGGTTGCCTGTCCAACCTCGTGGGTTTTCTCCGGGTCCTCTGGTTTCCTCACACTTCTGAAGACCCCTACGCGCAAGCGAATTATTGAAATAAAATTAAACCTAGTTTTTGTCGAGTGGACGTTAAACCCCATTTCTCTATCTCTCTCTACCTTATTTCCAGACACCAGACATATATCATGGTATATATTCAATTCAAGATGATATTTGCAGTCCTTGTGACATTTCAGTGCCAAAGTAAAATTGTAGTTGCTATTACATTTTCCAATTCAAATTTTGGGCCAGGCTGCTTTAGAAATATATTCTGCTATCTTTACTGGTCGCTGGTTGTACCAGACACTCACATTTCCACTTACATGATAATTCTAATTGTGAACACGGTATTAAAGATACATTACGTAATCTGCCTACTGGAGGTATTTCTTTTGGCTTCAAATGTTATCTAAATTATTAATTAGACATAAGACAAGCCCATAATCTACTTTCTAGGTCATCGAATGGCAGAGATTTAAATGGATTAAAATGCCTTTAAGATTAAAAAATTTAACAATAAACAGGATAATCAAGACTAAAGTCTTGTTTTTCCAGTACTGTTGGTACGACAATAAAAGCTCTTTACTACATCTTCAAACGGTCGGAACTTCGCCAAGAATAAAGTATTTTTTAACCATTATAGCAAGAACGGCCAGCTCTTCAGCTAGATCTTCCATTATGTATCTTTAACTTACTTAAGATAGTTAGTTCTTCTTCTGTGAGACCAGTTTTAGTATTTATAACATCAAATATTTCATCAGCGTGTTCCATACTATCTGGTATCTTTCCTTCTTCATCTTTCTTATTATCTTCAAGCACCTCTTCATCTTCAGCTATAGCAACAAGTTGATTTCTATCTAGATTCAACTCTAATGCTGGAGTTTTTGCATAATCTTCTTTAGTTTCTGGAATATTAAACATTCATTATGCAAGAGAGAGAGAGAGAAAGAAATGGGGTTTAACGTCCACTCGACATAAAGTAGGTCATTTCGGGACTAACACATGGTTCAATTTTATTTTAATAATTCGCTGTGGGAGGAAACCGGAGAAAATCCACGAGGTTGGACAGGCGACCCTGCTCCTTGTCACATACAACCTGGGAATCGAAACCATGCCAGTTGACTCAATGACAGACCTTACGATACAGAGCGCACACGCTAGCCATTCGGCCATCCAACTCTGCTCATTATGCAAGAGCTAAATCTGCCTATTACAGGTCTTTCTTTAGGGCTGAAATGTTATATAAACTATTAATTAGACATTTATTAACATGAAAAGACCTTAATAAACTCTCGATGCCATCTTATGTGTCGGATTTTCTCTGGATTTGAATCTGATTTGCTGCTCAACGCTCATTGATGATTTAATCCAAAAATGGATAATTAAGAGTATGTTTTTATAGTACAGTCATTTGGATGGGACAAAAAACCAAGGTCTGATGTACACAATGGCGTGCATGTAGAAATAAACTTCACAGTGGGAATTCGAAAAAATGAAATGAAATGGGGTTTAACATCCTACTGTTCTGCTCCTAAACTGGGCTAATGAAGACGGGCATACGTCATACAGTGTGCGATGAGGAAAATTTTGCCCGGGCAGCGGCACTGCGGTCTACTCTTATATCGAATTCCAACTGCCAGGGGATCTTTAACGTGCACACCAATGTGTACACAGGACCTTGGTTTTTCTTCCCATCCGCACGACTAGACAGCTGTCCTTGTCAGGCCCTCCGTCCTGCATCACTGACAAGGGGAAACCACGCCGGAAAATCTGGATGAACTTTCTCGGCCAATGCAGGGATCAAACACCCGACCTCCAGGCTAGCGAGCCAGCATCTTCCCGACTTAGCCACCGTGGCTCCCCCCAGTGGGAATTCGAAATAAGAGTATGCTGTCCAGCCAAAATTTACTTCATAGCACACTTATAATATGCCTGTCTTCATTAGCCCAGTGGGACAAGAACAGTAGGATGTTAAACCCCATTTCATTATACTTTAACATTATTCATTCATCAGTGTTCAGTTATTTAAATGTATACATAAATCTGTTGTTTACTTAGCATTTTATTTTTCTCTGCTTCCTTCCTATATTTATATTTTTCGTCAAGTTCTGGTTCCTCTATGACTAGATCATCTTTTCTAGGTCGGGGAATACCAGCAGATACATTCACCATTCTAAAAATAAACAATAAAATATAAATAACACAATTTCTACACAGAGAGAGTAAGAGAGAGAGAGAGAGAGAGAGAGAGAGAGAGAGAGAGAGAGAGTTTAACGTCCACTTGACACAAGCTAGGTCATTTCGAGACTAAAATATGGTTAAATCTTATTTCAATAATTTGCTTGCGCGAAGGGGTCTTTAGCAGTGAGAGGAGAGAGAGAGAGAGAAATGGGATTTAACGTCCACTCGACACATACCAGGCCATTTCGGGATTAACATATGGTTCAATTTTATTTCCATAATTCGCTTGCGCATAGGGGTCTTCAGCAGTGGGAGGAAACCGGAGGTCACAGAGAAAACCCACGAAGTTGGACTGGCGACCCTACTCCTTGTCACGTACAACCGGGGATTCGAAACCACGCCAGTTGACTCAATGACAAGGTTGGACAGGCGATCCTACTCCTAATCATGTGCAACTGGGGAATCGAAACCACGCCAAATGACTCATACAACACGCACAAGCTAACCATTCGGTAATCGAATTCCCATCAATTTCTATATACAATAATCTACTAATTTGAGAACTCCAAAACAGTAATATATTATCAAGATAAGAACATTCATTATATTTTTTGTATGATTGATATATAAAAAAGTATATAGTTATTTGAATGGTACAAAATATGTGTCCAAAAACTCTCAAAATGACAAGATGTTTGAAATATTTTGACAAACAATGACATACTGTAATTTTTAAATCTATAAAAAATAAGCTCAAAGGTTATATCAAATATCAATCCGATTAAAATACAGATCTATATTTCATTTCGTTTTTTTATACTTTCGATGGTCTACACTACATGAAGATCTGACAAGTTGTAGCGATAGGTCGCGTCCGAGATCATACGAACGGCTTTTGACCCTATGACATCAGACATTTGATTAACAAATCAGCATTGTTGTTACTAGTAGATTACCCACAGTTCCGCGCATAACACGCCTAAAGCTCGCCGTAACAGACCGTTTCATTGGCTAATCCCTCACACCATTCAGAACACGTCAATGATAACAACTCTTTCAGATCCTAGTGTAGTAAAGACAAGTAAAACGAAATTTTGAACTATAAAAACAAAACGAAATAGGATCTGTGTTTTAATCAGATTGATCAAATAGTGTTTGTTCTTACTTTGAATATTGAGACATTGTATTCATTACATCTAACAGCTGTCTAATTCTAGAACAAAACGTGTCAAAATGGGTTAAAATAGCATCTTCATCAGTCAGAGGTACACCATGACCAGCATTTTCACCAAACAATGATAAACCTT